ACAGCTGGGAGAGCGCCGACCAGGACGAGATTGTGGTGATCGAGGAGGAAACTCCCGCTCCCGTCAAGGTTTTCAACTTCCCCATGAAGCCTTGGATCTCAATTGCTCTGCAGGACAGCGCTACCGAGCCTCGACCTCAGTTCAGAGACGAAGCCATCATGGATATTGCTCGTCTCAAGAAAGAGTTTGACCAGATCGACCGCAACCTCTACACCGCTACGGAGAACTACATGGCCTACGGCATGTCCAAGGCTGGCGGTCTCCGCGTCATTAGGCAAGACGACGGCAAGGACGCTAAGATCTTCACCGACACTAAGGACCGCATCTTCAATGTCGCCATGTCCGTCACTCCCACTGACCACACGGGCATCCATCGCGAGGCCATCATTGGCACTGGCATCACTGGAACTGTCTACTGGGTCCAGATTAAGAGTGGCGAAAAGGACCACATCGAAGACGCCCATCCTGAGCAGTACGGCTTCGCTCTGCCTCCTATGGCTTCCCACGAAGGTGGCGATGCCCCTGGCGGTGTTCTCAAGACCCGTGCTCGCACCTCGACCATCCACCCCGAGTTCTTCGCCGTTGGCCGCGGCAAGTCCATCAACATCATCTGGCCCACATACATCATGCAGAACAACCTGTTCAAGCCTGGCCACGACCGCGTCGTCGACACGGAGAGATTGGCTAAGCAGTGTTCGTTGAAGATCAATACTGGTAAGGCCGGTAAAGACTTCACGTTCAGTCAGGACGATAGCGTGATAGTGTCTCTTGACAAGTCTGGACGTGTCAAATTCTGGGACGTTCGTGACCTGACCGCCGCCAAGGAGGGCAGCGACCCGCGTGCGCCCATTCCCGCCCACACTTCACTTGAGGTGAAGGAGCCTCTCATGACTCTCACCAGCACTCCCGAGGGCGAAAAGGCGTGGCCTACATCCGTCCTCCTTGTTGACAAGCTTCGCCCGTACCAGAAGCGCTGCGCTCTGCGCTACATGATCATTGGAATGAAGCAGAATCACACTCTGCAACTCTGGGATCTCGCGCTCGGCAAACCTGTACAGGAGTTCAACCTTCCCCACACCAAGGAGTCTGACGCCGTCTGCAGCGTCATGTACCACCCCCCCACTGGTATGCTCGTAATCGGACACCCTACCCGCAACTCCATCTACTTTGCGCACCTTTCGGCTCCTAAGTACAACCTGAAGAGCGTCTCGCAGGTGGAGTACATCCAGCGTCTGGTTGCCCAGGACACCACCATCCCCGCGCCCGACTCGACTGCCGTTATCAGCGGTGTTCGTGAGTACTCGTTTGCGAACCGTGGCATCCTGCGCAGTCTCGACATTCTCTGCAACCCCGCCATGGCTCAGGAGACCGACGAGCCGACTCTATTTGAGCTCTACGCCATGCACTCTAAGGGAGTAGCATGTCTTTTGATCAAGCAAGCCGAGCTCGGCTGGACCAAGGACAACAAGGTCCTGGCACCCGTTGATGCTGTTGACGCCGGGGTCGTTACTATTTCGAAGCTGAAGCCCCCTGCCAGCCAGCCCGCTGAGCCCAACCACCAGAATGCCGAAGGTGCCCACCCTTCGGCTCGCAACATTGCGAAGGACTCCCTTCTGCAGACCACGCCTTCTCACGATGACAATGCTCCTCGCCGCGGTCCCGAGTCTGTCACGCCAGTCAAGATCGCCAAGGCGGAGTCAAAGGAGGAGGAGACGCCCGTTCCCGCTCCCGCCCCTGTCAAAGAAGAGAAGCAGGAGCGCAAGAGCCGCAAGAAGAAGGCTGCAGCTGCAGCTGCTGCCGCAGCGGCTGCCGCGGCTGCCGCCGGCAACGAGCAGACCAATGGCTCACCCCGTGTTGGTCCTTCCAGCAACAATAACAACAACAACTCCAAGGACTCCGGCAAGTCTTCCGGCCACAACTCTAGCTCAAACTCCATCACCCAAGAGTCTGTCGAATCAGCAATCAGCAGCATGGAGACTCGCCTCCAGAACGGATTCAACAACTTGCTCAATTCGTCGTTCAAGACGCTCCACGGCCGCATTGACGAGGGTTTGCGTGCCCGCGAGGCCGACTTTGACGACCGCCAGCTCAAGCTCCTCAACATGGTCTCGGAGGTCCTCAACGAGAACACCCAGAAGGTCCTCGAGGCCCTCATCCAGGAACAGTTCAGCAATGCGGTCATCCCCGCTATTGCTGACGTTGCCGGCAAGGCTGTTTCTGACCAGTTCACCAAGAGTATGAACAACCAAGTTTCGCACTCTGTTCAGAAGGAAATTCACAAGGCCCTTCCTTCCGCGACCCAGCACGCGCTGCAGAACGGCGACTTTGTGAAGGCCATCTCAGACAGAGTCGGGGCTACGGTGGCGGCCAACGTCCAGCAAGAGGTCGTGAGCACTCTGACCTCTCGCCTGGGCCCCTCCTTCACCAACATGGCAACCCAGGCCTGCCAGCGCGTGGCCGGCGAACTCCAGAAACAGCACCGCACTGAAATGGAGACTCTCAACGCTCAGCGCCTCGCCGAAAGCAACAAGGTTGATCAGCTGTCCGCCATCGTGACTCGTCTTACTGGCACGATCTCCAGCATGGCGGCGTCCCAGGAGCAGTTCCAGAATGAGTTCCTCAAGTTCCAGCAGCAGATGATTCGTGTGCAGGCCCAGGCCCAGCAGCAGCAACAGCAGCAACAGCAGCCTCAACAGGTGCCGCATCACCAGCAAGCTCCTTCCTACGCTCCTTCTGTTGTCAGCCAAGTTCCCAGTCAGGTTCCCAGCCACATGCAGAGCCAGGCTTACAGCAACCTGCAGAGTCCCGACAGGGCATCGCAGCATTCCATGAGCTACAGCGGCCATTCTCAGGCTCTCACGGTGGCCAAGTCCAACAACGAGTACGATGCCGACCTCCAAGCTCGCATTGCTGTCGTCAACCAGCCGATGAAGGAGGGCAGAGCCGAGGAGGCCGTCGTCCGCTGGATGCAGTCTGGCCGTGAGCAAGAAGTGTTCGAAAAGTACATGTCCAAGTACAGCCCTGAGTTTGTGCGCAACCTGCCGCATCTCGTTCTCCTGACCGTAACTGCTACGGTCAGTCTGAACCTGGAGTCATACACTCGCGAGAGAATCGCCTGGCTCGAGATGGTTGTGCACAGCCTTCAGGTCTCGCTCGGCGAAATGGTTAGTAATTCTAATGCTAGTTTCCATGATTTGCTGCTAACATATGTTTAGGATGGCGATGCTCGTGCGGTTACACCAAAAATTATGGGTATGCTGGTGGCCCGCGTCGAGGGTCTCTTCGTTCGCATTAGCAGCACTTCGGGCAACGACCCAGTTCTCAAGAATCTTTCGCAGATCATTGTTAACGCGAAGCGGGTGATTGACGCCTGCCAGGACGAGCAGCAGTACGCTTAGGAAGCAGACAGTTGAAAGTGAAAATCTCTCACACCTGGCCCGATGACGACATGACGATATCAAGTACATAAGACATTTCGACAGCATACACGTTTGCAGGATGGCCTTGCTACGAGGCATGGGTACGATGTGGAGGAGATGCGTCTTTTGAAGAATGGGTGGGCAAGATAGCCGACGGTCGATACCTCAGTGCACATATGGCTGCGTTTTCTTTGGCATTTGGAAGAATGGGGACTGTGAATACGTTTTTCAATGGGAGGCGTATTTTCAGGCATGCGAAGGGAGTAGTTTGGGCTCCAATGGATCTGCGTGTGGATGGTGGACAAGATTCCCAAAACTTTTCTTTTCTCTTTTTTCCTTCCGTTGTAATAAGGGGTACGCTTGGGTGTTGGGACGAACCAAAAAGAAAACAAGGCTTGGGAGCGAGGGCGTTTGGACGTCGACCCAGAGTCTGTAGTATTCTTGGGGTTGGATGATTCCATTGGGACGTTACCTCGTTGTCTTAGACAGGAATATCGAAGGCGTGATCTAGCTTGGTGTGTTGGTTGTGTGACTGTGTACATGATATGAGGTGAAATGGAATGTGAGGGTGCTTGCCTGCCATGATGCGGAGACTGGTCTGTCTTAGATATTGAATCAGTCCAAACACACCGGCGTCTTCAACCCAAGTCCATCGGACACCTAGACTTTGAGGATGCGAGGAGTCAAGCTTGTCCTTCTCGTCTCTGCCTACCTTATGGAAGCAATGGGAGCATACGGTACTAGCAGATTACCTTATCCGCACCTCAGATAAGAAGGCGTATCAGGACCAGATTCAATGTGTTACATAATCCTCAAGATATAGCAATGTGGCCTGTGCCCCTGAAGAGGCGGCAGAACCTTGCATGTTTGCAGGGCTTGATGCCTGACAGCCTCACACCCTCTTGGACGATGTCTGATTGGACAAGTGGTTGGCGGCAAGAGCAGGACACCTGTGCTCAAGTTTTTTTTGGGGGGGAAAGCTCGAGTCACACAGCACAGCACAGCGCCTGCCCTGTGGCCGCAGGAGCCAGTAAAGTCAGGTACGTACCCGCCTACCTTGAAGTTTGAACAGAGGAAGGAACCTCAAAGCCAGACAGGACAGGCAGGTCACAGGTTACAGGTGACGGGAGAGCGAAGCACCTGAGGTGGGCAGCGGCTGCTGGCTCTTGCTCTTGCTGTTGGTGCTTAGGTTCCATTGTCTTTCAGAGAAAAGCAACTAGAACCAACCTTTGGTACCTTAACCCACCTCAACAGCGCGAATTTATTTCAAGTGAAGTGAAGTGACGCCGAAATCTTTGCTGCCACTTCTATAGCCAAAGTGCCTATTTTCATCATACCAAAGTTTCCATATTCTTGGGGGAATAACTCCTACTGCATCAAAACATAGCCATCCAACACGTAGTTTCTCCGCCCCTTCGACTCGGCCAATTGCGTTTGACAAAGTGTACTTCCCACTCCCAGCGAGGTACATCGACTCTTTCACTCCAAAGTACCTTACCTCAGCATTCTCAGGTACACCCGACCGTCCAGAGTACAGATACGGACAGACGCCGACGCGACAGACGGGCAGAGAGCTCCAATTGAATTGACCAGGGGTGCCAACGCCAACGCCAACAGCACAAGCACAGCTCCGACCACCGCTTTAGGGGCTTTGGACCTGGATTTGGATTAACGACCACCTTTTCCACACCTCACGACGACACGACACGACGACCACGACGGCAAAGACCGCTGCGCCAGCTCCTCGACGAGTCGCCGCTGATACCTTTGGCCTTTTCTCGTCTGATGTAACGACGACGCACCGTCATCACCTCGAGACGACACAAAGGCGCGCAGACTGCTGCACCTAGCGGGACGACCCGAGAGAAAGAACCCATCCCGACAGTTTGACGACTACCGACGAGACGATTCCTGCACCTCACATCAACCTCCTCCCACATTTGACAGCAGTGCTGAGCTGCCCGTTGGGGACCAGTCCCCCCTTGCGCGCGTATGAGCTGGCAGGTGGTTCCGGGTATGGGGTCGAACGTAGGCAACGGCATGGGCGGGCCCGGAGGAAACGAAATGGGCGGCGCGTTGCAGGGCAACGGTGGCAATCAGCCTCATGCGACCGAGTATACGCTGCAGGGTATGTTGCTTTACGCAATCGTGGAATACCTTCATTCTTTCGTACTAACTACGCTGCGTCTCAGGTGTTATGCGCTTCCTCCAAACCGAATGGCACCGTCACGAGCGGGACAGGAATGCTTGGGAGATTGACCGCCAGGAGATGAAGGCGAGGATAGCTTCCCTTGAAGGTCAGGCGAGAAGGGCCGACGCAACTCAAAAGGCACTTAAGAAATACGTCGCCATTCTCGAGAAGAAGGTTAAAGACCAGGCTACACAGCTGAAGGGAGGTTCCAAAGCAGGCGACGACGCTGTAAAGGCCGAGAAGGATCGCGCTGCCCTGGTCCAGGAGAAGCTTCGACGTGAGTTTTGAGTCCTCGCCTCAATCCGTGATGGAGCATCAGCTAACAGTATCATGCAGCTTCCTCCAAGAAGCCATACGATGCCCATGGTGGCGAACTCGACGTGGATAAAGCCGACGATGAATCGCAACGGGCCGACCTCAAGTCTTTCCTGGACCAGTGCCAGGCTGAGTTCACCTATCTGATGATTACCCCGGCGAATCCTCTACCCCCACGGGATTCACCCCCTCTCCCGATACTGGAAGACTTGCGCGAAGGCGAGCCGTTTGGCGTACCTGGCGGTAAGCCATTCCAGGAGCCGCCCTTCCCCTTTGCTTCATCGTCTCTTGTGCCGCAAAACCACGTCCGTGAAGCCAACCGCCCCCCTCCCGCTCCCAACCATGCACCCCCGATGCAGCGAAGTCAACCAACGAGTTTCCAAGTCAAACCTGTCGAACAGCAACAACAACAGCAGCAGCAGCATCATCAACCACAGCAACAGCACCACCAACAGCAAATTCCGCCCCCGGCCCAGGAGCCTGCACCTCCTGTCATGTACGCCGCTGGTACCGAATGGCCTCAGCCAATGTCGGCGACTGGCCGTATGCTCGACGACAACATGCAACGGCCTAGCCATGCCGTTGAGTCCATCAGTAGCGTTGAACCAACGGAAGAATCTCAACCTAGCCGACCTGCTCCTGAGACCGACGGTTGGGATTTCTCCGACGGATCATTCGCTGATGGCAACTCGTCACAATCTCTACAACACATCACCAACAGGCCCGATACCGACGCATTTCCCACTGCAGACAGCCTTCCAAAGTCGCCCAACCGTGGACCGAGCTCTCATCGCCGCAAAGGATCAATGTCGCGTAGACGCAGTGCGGACCATGAGCTGTCGTTGAACTCGGCTGCTCAAAAGGCCGAGACGGGCAACTTCAAATTGCGCTTCGGACTGCGAGGCCATCTGGACACCGTGCGCACCGTTATCTTCTCCGGCGGTGGCAGTCCTGGAGAACCCGAGATCTGCACAGCAGGCGATGATGGCATGATCAAGCGGTTCCACATTCCCCGTGCCGACAACCACGGCCAGACCAATGCTGCGTCAGATCTCGATGTGACAGCTAACTTTTCTCATCGTGGCCATGCCGGAGGCGTGCTCTGTTTGACATCCTGGTCGCCCTCGCCAAACTTCTCCACCGGTGGCCGCGCGCAAGGTGACGGCTGGATCTTTTCCGGTGGTCAGGATGCCACCATCAGGGTATGGGAACGTGGAAGAGTCGACCCCAAGGCTACCCTCGAGGGCCACACTGACGCCGTCTGGGCGTTGTGCGTGCTGCCGACCACGCTTGGTGCTGTCTTCGGTCAGAACAGCCAGTATGGAAGCCCCGATCGCATCCTGCTCGTATCTGGCGGTGCCGATGGATCTGTCCGTTTGTGGTCCGTTAGTGCACCACCTCAGTTGACCTCGCCTCAGCCGGGAACGAATAGAGCCGGTCCAACGGGCAGCAGAGGCCGCGTCCGCGGTAATTCGATGAGCTCTGGAAGTGCTTTCTCGAGTACTCCGCAGCCCAATATGGCATCGAGCTCTCCCTTCAACCACACGCTCGTTCACAACATCAAGAGGCCGGATGGCTCTGATGCTAGCCCTACATGCATCACTTCCCTCAGCCCTAGCGGTGACACGTTTGTCGTGTCTTACTCCGACGCAGCCATACTCGTCTACGATACCCGGACAGGTGAACAAACCGGTACAATGGACAGCTCTGAGACATACGACGGTTCAATCAACACCAGTGTCAATGCTGTCGTTGCGACAACTGTCGGTTTGGAACAGTCCCAGGGCGGATTGTCCGAAGATGATAGCAGTGCCGGCGGTGGGCCAACCGGTGGCGGAGGCAGATCCATGGCAGGATCTGGAGTTGAGGGCGTCATTATCTCTGGACACGAGGACCGGTTCGTCCGCTTCTTCGATGCCAACAGCGGTAAGTCACGAAAGTCGAATGCGTGCGAAAATGAAATGCTGATTGAATGCCCAGGCCAATGTACCTACAACATGCTGGCACATCCGGCATCGATTTCGGGCCTTTCACTCAGTCCAGACGGCCGTGAGCTTGTCAGCGCAGGGCACGATGCCTCGTTGCGATTCTGGAGTCTCGAGAAGCGATCCTGCACGCAGGAGATTACGAGTCACCGCATCATGCGCGGCGAAGGCGTCTGCTCTGTCGTTTGGAGTCAAGACGGCAAGTGGGTCGTCAGCGGTGGTGGAGATGGCGTGGTCAAGGTATTTGCGCGGTAGACGGCGGAGGTTTGGGCCGAAAGAGAGAAAGAGAGAGGAGGAAAGAAAAATATACAACAACAGCAGCAGCATAGCGTCCGTTGAAATGGCGTCGTCTTTGGGTCATTACTTGCTATGGGATGGATGTCTGAAAAGATGGCCTGCTCTCCGAGCTGATTGTGTCCAGGCATGAGAGAAGAAGAAGTGGGTGTTTTGGGACGTTTTTCTTTTCAACTTCTTTTTTTTGGGCATGAAGTATAAGACTATCGGGGCATTTTGGCTGCAGCAGTGGGCTCTCGGGCCGAATAGGGAAGAAACAGAAAACGAGGGGATGAATGGAATAGGATAAGGGGCGCGGACTGGCGCGGCCGATCCGCGTCCTGTTGTAATACTGTACTTGGGGCATCATTATTGTTCATCACACGTCGATACCCTCATTCACACTTCACCAAACCGAACCGAACCAAATCAACCCCCCCCTTTTCCTTGCCTGTTGTCTAGTGGACTCTGGACAGCGGTCTCGGTTTTCTTCGTATATAGCTTTTAAGGGGTGAAGAGAATAGATGATTGTATGATTTTGGGTATTAGGATTCATTGTCATGGAAATCAACGTTTGCCGTCGCCGCTTTGAAGGAAGAAAGAAGGTCTTGCTACATGACACCAAGCACGTTGTGCTAGAATTCCAACTCCTCGACTTCCATGCCGCATCCGTTGCATTTCTTCACCGTCATGCCCTCCTCGTTCTCAACCGCTCGACCCCAATCGTGAACGTGCTTCCCGCCGCCGACAGAGTCTCCAAACTTTCTCGGCCCCGCGCCGGCGGCTGTGGTCGCCTGCTGTCTGCGAATGGCCTCGGTCCTGGTCTTGCGCTTGAGATCGTTGAGTTTATCCCTAAACTTGGCTTCCTTGCGCCTCTTCTTGTCGGCTTCGCGCTTGGCGAACTCTGCGTCAAGTTTCTCTGCGGACCCCCATTTCGTGGTGAAGGCATATTCTTCCACTTGTAAGCGGAGGAACAGCATCATGTCGTGCCAGTGCGACTTGTGCGGGTTGGGTCGCGAGAGGTGTGGGAGGAGGTCGGCGTCTTTGAGTTCCTCGTCGGTGAGGAGGTAGTCCTCTTTACACTCCGTCTTTGTGAGGAGCGAGTACTTTTCGGGAAGCTTGTCCTTGCAGACGTTGCAGACCTGGATGCCGAAGATCTCGTCCCAGACAAAATCGATTTCGTACGAGGAGCAGTCGGCGCATTTCTTGCGCATGGTGGCGTCGGCGAGGACGCTGAGGCCCGGCTCAAAAGGTCCAGCTTTCTGGCGGCGGAGTTTCTTGAGGAGTTGAAGACGTTCCCATTCTTGCGAGGTCATGCCTTTTGGTTTCTCCTCCTGGGGTGGGCCGCCGGGTTTTACTTTGGGCACGAGGGCCGTGTTGTGCGGATCGTCTTCTGCGGTGAGGAAGCCGCCTTTTGTGTCTGTCATGGCGGACATGTTGTAATCGACGAATTTGGCAAAGTTGCGCGCCGGGCGCGGGGCGGCGTTTGTGTCGCGAGCATCGCGATTCGTTGACGGATGTGATTCTGCGCCTGTGGCTGCCGCAGGATTTGTCGTTAAGATGGACGAGTGCGGGCGTTTGCGGGAGAGGTCTGTCGCTTGGGAGGCACCTGCGTTGGTGATGTGGACGTCGTTGGTGGCTACGAAGCCCGATGCGGTTTTGGGCGTAGGGATTGCGCCTGAAGCGGCGAGTTCGGCATCGCGGCGGTCGCGGATTGCTTTTGCTTTGAGGCGAGATTCTTCCTGCGGAGGGCAATTCGTTTAGTCTTGGGAGTCCAAGGAAAGTTGAGGCCCGAGGAAGCGTTCACTCACCATGCGACGGATTGCTGCTGGTGTTGGAGGGGTTCTGGCGGGCAGCGGCGCCATTGCCGGGTTCGGCGGTGGTGTTGACGGGCGGACCATGGCGATTGTCGGTCTGTAAGCAATTCGGGATATCTAGAGCGTCTAGTGGTGTAGATGGAAAGTTGGGCATGAAGGTTGTAAGTGGGAGACGTGAAGATGCGTGCGCGCGCGGAGGGGCAACTTTTTGGAGGAAACGATTATGTCACTACTAAGAAAGTACTTAACGGAGTCGCGAACGCACGTGCCTTGCCGCTGCGACCGAGCGAGCCACACCGAAGTGGCAGGAGAGGGACTGGAGGCGGAAGTGGCGGAGCTGGAGCTGTCGGGCACGAAATGGAGCTAAGATGGGGAGATAATATGGAGTTTGATGTCGGATTAAAGTGAAGTTGTCGTGATGGAAATGGTGCGAAAACGAACAGAGTGCGGATTACTGAACTGTATCTTGACGAGACTAAGCATCTACGACAACGAATTTGCCACTCCAATTTCGAGATGATCGCATGGTGTTGGAAATCTACTTTCCACTCGTGCCAGCGCATCCTCCTATTGCCTCCAGGTAGGTACGGGAAGATACGACCGCCCCTTGACTGCAACCGAAAACATCTCCTGTAACCAATGATGCCCTCCTTTTTGATTTTATAATTTGTTCACTGTCCGACTGTCCGGTTCCCCCCCCAAAATACCAACTACGACGGGCGACGAGAGCGAGCAGACATTTACTCCTCCTTGGCACCACCACGGCCGGCACGCTCGGCAGTCTCAATGGCCTTCTTGTCGCTGGCAGCAGGGCCGCTCTGGAGACCCTGCATGAAGCTGGCGGGAGCTTTGAAGGGGCGCTTGAGGTCACCGGCGGCGGGCTGGCCAAAGACGTGGATCTTGACGAGGTTGCTCTCGAGAGCACTCTTGAGGGGGATGATGGACTGGATCAGGAGGGGGTTGGTGTACTTCATGTAGATGTGCATGAATGCCATCATGGCGATACCCATGGCCTGGGAACGGAAGGCCTGGCGGAGCTGGGTGGTGTCGTAGGCGTGGATAGTGGTGGTGACGAGCTTGCCCTCCTCAGCGGAGCCCATCGCTGGGGGCTCGACGTACTTGAGCGTGGTGAGGTCTGCTATCTGTCAGCGACTGCTCCAGCAACCTTCAAGGAAGATGATATAGCAACGCACCCTTCTTCTTGTTAATCTGGGCCTGGACGTAAAGGTAGATGATGGCGATGATGATGTTGCTGGCAATGTAACCGGCGCGGCACATGTTCAGGACATTGGGGTCTTCGAAGGGGACCTTGCGGGAGACCTGCACCATGCCGAGCATGATGATCAGGTTGGTGCTGCAGCATTGTCAGTTGACATTCGTCTTTTGTTCTAGTCGCGGAAGAAAACATTGAAATCAGAGATTTGCAATGCGATTCGATGCGACTAAAACAAACGAAGGATAGGTAACGTACATCTGAGGGCTGACCATTTTGGCGGTTTGCGAGTTTAATTGGGAGGAATTGGAGAGGAGGACGAGAACGGCGAAGAACCTCGAGGTTGCGAGAGAGAGAGAGAGAGAGAGAGAGAGGGCTGAATAGTTTATTAAGAGGATAACAGGAAGAGGAGGCTGGCAGGATGTAGAGGAGCGGACGGCGCGGCGTGGAGTTGGCGAGTTTTTGTATGGTCTAGCGCGTGAGGGCGAGGGCGTCTTTTGGGGGGGCGATGGGGAAGAAACTCGGAGAGGGTGAGGTGGTCGAAACGGGGCCCGTCCGGTGGGTTGGTTGGTTCCTTTGGGCCTGGCTGGGGGTGGAGGTGGAGGTGGAGGCACCTGGGCGAGGTACCTTTTTAGCTGTGCACCACTGCAGTGAACGTGGGTGTCTCCTCAGTAGGTACCTAGGTGGTCAGTGGACTTAGCGGTCCGATTCGGGGTCCAGCGGCCCAGTGTATGGGATGGCGAATTGCAAAATGGCACAATTTCTTAGTCCAAAGCTCTCTCGGTTTCTGTAGCATTCCGCTGCACTCTTTTTGGTCTTCGTTTTGGGATCATGCATGGGTGCCTCATGCGTGTGCTGCCTGTATTCATAGCATATACGAATAGGTGAGCCTCATGGAACTCTATCACATGGCTTGATATCTCTTTCTCCCACAATATTGTCCTAGTGACATCAATCTGTCTATTAGTGTTGTATCTCTATTGTCTCCGTCGAGGCACATGATGCCAGACGGCGTATTGCAACTTTTGAGTTGTCTGCAGCTAAGCAAAGGTGCTTAGACTAACACAACATACTGCCCAAGGCAACATGCCACGCATCCAGTGGCTGGGAACTTGGAGAAAACGCCACTGAGTCTTGAGAGTAGCAAGTCCAACTCCCCGCATCCGCTCTTGGATTCTCATCAAAATCGGAGGCTTTTGCAAGTTGCGTGCTCTTGCTGGAGACTCGGACTGAGAGACTTGCAAGTTGCGACACCAACAGAGGACACGTTCGTAAATTGCAACGTGGGGAATCCTGTCAGATATATCCACCACCTGCCTAATCGAGACAGCTACCATTTTGCCTCATCTTACAGCTGAGATTTGGTCATGCATCGCTGATAGACCAACACTAGCGTCAGATGTATCTCACCTATCGCTTTGCGGTTGACAATCAACCGACTCTAAATGGTTGCAATTATCAGTTGTCTTGGCATTCAGCACAAATCCACAAATGCACCCGGATCACCACAATTGCAATAGCAAAGACGAAAGAAAACTGGGCTTTTCATATTCCAGATATGTACGACAGGGGCCAGGATACCCACGATCAATATCTACAATTGAGAATACAATCATCAGACAGCAGTACCCCCATGTCCACAGACAGGTCCCTAGCTGAGTCTTCCGGCAACAGTACCCCCATGGAAATCACGTGGCGCCGGTCGCACGTTCCACTTCCGCCGATGCGCACTCCATCGGGGGGCACGTATCCACCCCGAAGCCCGGGAATAGCCTCAGATGAAGCTCTTGAGGATCGGGAGGTATGTTCCGTACGCCTTTCCAGTCGTAGGCTCCATGGAGTACATGTAGTCCGCCCACCACGGTCCAGCCGCCCACCAGAGAACCTAGAATTTCGATGTTAGCGGTGTTCAAACCATGAGAAACCTTTGAGAATAAAATACTTACACCTCTCCACTGCTCAGAGTTGTCCGCGAGGTGCTGGAGGGCACCCTTGACAGCAGTCTCGCACTGAGTGTTGACACCGGCGCCAATCTCGCCGAGAACGCCCTGCTTGTTGTTATCCTTGAGCCACTGGGTGGCGACCGCCAGACGCTCGGCGCCAATGGTGCTGCTGACGCAGGCCTCGTTGGTGCCGGAGCCGTCCGTGTCGAGGTACTGGTGCATCTCGTAGAAGAGAAGCTTGCCGGTCGAGTCGGACGGATCCGTGAGGTTCTTGAGAGCATCGCCGGAGCCGCTCTCGATCCAGTGCCACGCGCCAGAGTACGAGTTGCCCTCGATGAAGATGTTCTGCTTCGTGGCGCCCGCCGCGCGAATGTTGGTAATGGCGGCCTGGTTCAGGTCGTGGACGAGCGTGTTGTCCATGTCGTGGTACTCGTTGTTGGTGTCAAAGATGACCTTGTCGTTGTCCTTAAAACGGGCGGCGACCGTCTTCCACCATGCACCAAAGTCGGCGGAGCTGGTGATGATGTTGCCATAGTAGCGGCCATAGTTGTGGGGGTCGATGACGGCGTAGGAGCCCTTGGAGGTGACGTCCTTGACGAGCTGCCGTCGAAAGGGTTAGCATGCGTACTTCTATCATCTACGGGCATCACGACTTACATCCTCAAGGCCAGAGAAGTAGGTCTCGTTGATCGTGCCGGTCAACTTGTCGGGAATGATACGCTCCATCATCGTTCCGATACGGAAAGTGTTGAGGCCCTGGGCTCTCAGAGTCTACCAACCCACAGTCAGCTGCCATACCGCTTCATCGTTTCGACATCAGTCTTACATCAATGGCAGTCTTGTTGGGCCATGTGTACTCCTTGCCCAGCTGTCCAGGAAGGGTACCCTGACCGAACTCGCCGCCGCTCTCGTTGACACCAGTGAATAGAAACTTGCCGGCGCGCTTCTCCTTGGCGCCGTCGATGGGGGCCGCCAGGACCGATGCGACGGACGCAGCTCCGAGAGCAATGTTGGAAAACTTCATGATTTTTGATCGAAGAAAGGAATGAAAAGGGTTAGACTAGAAAAGAAGGTAAAAAGGTCGGATGCAGTCCAAGCAAAAGCCAAGACCAACCCCAGAGTGGCTCCGAGGCATGGCAGACTTTATATCCTCGTGGCCCGGACCCTCTATCTCTCCTCTCTTTCGTCTCCTCTTTCTTCCGTCTCTCGCTTACAGTTCAGGGGGGTGGAATGGGATGGCAAAGAACGGTACCGACGCATAGTGGACTGTCGAAAGGAAAAGTTGCCTGTTGCGAACCTTTGGAGGAGAATCACCAGGTCACCCCCCTACAATATTATGACGGAGTCCCTTGCTCCGTCCCATGTATACAACCAAAATACCACACGATTTGCGGGAAAAGAGGGAACGCAATCAACAAAGGGGGCCGGTCACTTTGCTTCTCAAAGTCTAGTCTGGACATTCTGGAGCCCGTGGAAGCGGCGAGCCTCACCATACTAAGCTTGCTTGGCATGGATGATGTGCCGTGTGGGGTAGTCCCGGCAGGGAAGAGCACGATCTCGGGACCTGGCCCTCCTAGTGCTGGACCTCCTTGGACCTTGCAGATGCCAGACTGTGGTTCGTGGTTACGTTGATGCCGAGAATGCCGAAAAATGCGGCTGCTTCGTACTGTCGTAGAGTTGGGGGAGGGGGGCTTTTGTTTGCCGCCTGGGTTAGATTGCGTGCAGGTTTAGTCTGACCTGTTTGGATATACGGCATCATCATCGAGAGGGATCTAGGACAATCTGGCAGGCAGTTGAGTGGCGGAGGGTGACATGCTCCGGTATTTGCGCAAATTTCCCGCGGGTGACAAGTGCCGGCATGAGAGACAAGAAAAGCAAAGTGCGACACAACAGGCTAACAGCAGACAGAAAGAGACTGACAGTGACTGGCAACTCGGACTCGCGGCTAGCTAACAGGCTTTGAGGTGTCGTTGGTCCCAAAGGGGGGAAATAAAGTTGGCTGTTTCAAGTCGCCGGGGGAATACCCTCCGCGTGGTCACTGGTGTACATAGCACCTGGAATTAAGGGATCGCCAAACCCCACAATGATCATCAAGATGGGACTTGAGAGCTGCGAGGGGGCCAAACTGAGCCGCGAACTCGGGACGACGGCGCGAGAAGGTTACGAATAGAGGACGTGACTATCCAAGGAGACGGCTGGCAGAAAAAGGAGACTGCTCCAAGTGCAATGACGTGATATAAGAGGCATGAGATCAGGGGAACAAGCTGTTTAGCTTAGACTTGTGGCCTGCGGACCCTCTCTCAGTAGACTTTGGGAATTGTCGGCCAACAGGGAGATCCTTGGGTGCTGCAATACCGACAAACCTTGGACTGAGTCGTTTCAACAGAGTTTGCTGTTGAAGAAACAAGTTGACTGATAGCTCTGACCTGCTTTACCGTCACCGTTGCCGTCTGAAACAATGTGGAACGGCCGTCCGAGAATGCGCTGAGGGCAGCGCTAAATGATGCGAAGACTAAAACTCGAGAATACTCACTAATTTTGACAGATGAACACAAGACTTGAGTAATTTGTGGAGGTCATGTAGAAGGAAGACGGAATCGGATTTAGTAACTTTTCGGTGCAGTTAAGCCGTTGTAGATTGTTCGCCGAGAATCGAATTACGACTGAGTGATGTGAGCCGTGATTAGTTAAGCCAGCAATCCGGGAGATAGAGTCGGATCCGAAGCACGGAGCACCGGCTTTCCACGTGACCCAGCAAGTTCTGGAAGCTCGGAAATTCTTCCCGTGCAGCATCGCGACAGCCCAGCCCAGGAGTGACTTGGAGGAAGTAGCTACCAATCCCAGACAAGCAAAAGGAGTTGCGACGATGCAGCCAACACGACACCTTCTGAAGCGATCCGTGTGGAAGGGTGAGCAATCCATCTATTGCGCATACTGTTGAAATTGAAGAGATGAACTGACAGCTCGTTTGTAGGGCCTCACATCGTCCCGTAAGGAATCCCTCCCCTCACGACACCCCTCAATCGAACCCCCGAGTCTGACCCTGCTTTAACGCGAACAGTCTCCCGATCGTACGCCCCGTACCCGGACAGAAGGTTGTGCCCATCCGGACGCAGGCCCGTTCCGCGACGATCCTGCCCAACTTTGTCGGCCTCAAGTTCCAGGTCTACAATGGCAAGGCGTACATTGACGTGACGATTACGGAAGACATGGTCGGTCACAAGCTGGGAGAATTCTCACCGTACGTCGAATCGGCGCCTGCATAACATATCAAGGTTCTTGGAGCTAACTACTGGCAGGACGAGAAAGCCCTTCATCTGGTCCAGGATGTAAGAGGGGGCGTCATTGGGATTTTCCAAGGTTTAGCAGCATCCGGACGGCGTCTCTGTCAAGGTGTGGAGGAACATTTGTACAACACTGTCAAGATACCAGCGATACACTGTAGCATAAGAATTTGGGGCCTTGTGCCGTTGACGACCCTCTGCTAGGTTTATGGATATCCATATCGTGTAACCTTTCGAGCACCTCTACGTAGTGCTCGTTCAAAGCCGAAGCTCCCGGTCATGTAAAACCCCGTAGACGCCATACCCAAGCCCGTCCAACGCCGTGATATATGTACACCAGCCCAAATTTTTTTTTTTTGGCAGCTCCCGGCTGCTTTGATAATTCCCCCCTTATCGATAAAACTCACTTCTCTTGACATTGACTCCATACTCGCCGACGGCCATGCCGAGGTCCTCCATGGTGAGAACGGTCCTGTTTTGGCTGCCGCCCTGTCCACCGCCGCCATAGCCAGGTCTCTGGATACCGAGGGGTCCTCCGCGACTTTGGTCCTTTGCGCCGGCTGGACCTGTGGGTTGGCCCGGGATGGGGAATCCCGCCGCGGCACCGAGGTTGCCCATGGGGTTATTCGCGTTGGAGTTGGAGGCGCGGATGCGGCTGTACTGATATGCGTCTGCGGAGATATCGGCGATGAACTTTTGCGTTGCTAGAGCGAGCAGGCGCGCCAGGCGCGGGTCGGTCTGCGGTGGTGGGGGGAGGCCGGCCTTGGTCATGTAGTAGTTTGTGACTGCGTCGGGGATCTAAGCAAGTGAGAGCTGTCAGTCCATGTTCGTTCCCTCACGAATCTTTTTCCAAGACATACAATGGGCGCATAGTCGTCCATCTTGGTCAAGAACTCGCGGAGAGACATGTCTTTGCGGGTGATGGCCTTAGGCTCTGGGCCGGGCGCGACTGCCTCGGGGACAGCCGCGGCGTCAGCTGGGGCAGCGGCGGCATCGCTTGTCGTCTCTTGCGTGTTGGGCGCCGTGGGCGCCGTGGGCGCTTGTTCAGCGGTCTCCGGTGCGGTAGTTGACATTTTGATCGCGGCGCGTGAAGAACAGAGGTGATGGTGATAACGCCGGATGGGAGGAAATCGAGTCAAAGGCACGCGATTCCACAAGGCTGATGAGGCTGATGATGTAAGGTGAAGTCGCCTTGCGCGACATGCGGCAGTGGCGTCAGTGTCACGTGCAAGAGAACTGAGCCACCTCTACAGGTGTGTGCCTGCCTTCCAGGTTCTTTTCGGTAATACCTTACCTTACCTATGAGGGGTCTCACCTTCTCACCTTCTCCACATTCAAGGTCAGCAACCTGTCTGGCCTGTGCATTTAGGTTCAAGCATCTTATTTAAGCTTCAACAGGGGATCAAGGTGCAACAGGCCTCAAAGTGGCCGTCACGGAGCCATCCGTACTACAGGCGAATGGCTAGCATAATTGTAATTCAATTTTGGCGCCCTAATCATCCGTCTACGAACTGCCAAGACGGGGATATCTGTACGCAGAGTACTAGGCTACAGACTCCAATTTTGCAACTGGTAAAAATGTAACGAACGCATCTCACTGATATATTGGCCTACCTTCATCATTTCGCGGATTATCATTTCCTGCTGTATGAACTGTCGACTCCCCACTCGAGCCATGGAAGATTGCAACCACTAGATCTGAAAGATTTCGCAGCATGCCAATTACTGTGGTCCCGTTTTTAAGTCGCATGTGAGTTACGCTTCCTTCAAACACCGAGAAACATAGCCCAAGGTATGCGTCAAACTATGTGTGTATTCGTATGGGTAATCGTACAGAGAGCCATCTGAGAAATCGCTGTACAAGTGGACTGCCAAGATTGAGTCGTGGTTGGGCCATGCTGCCAACGTCAGCAATATGGGGTCGCTATGACTCGCTGACCCAGCCGACCTGCAATCTCATATAAGAAGCTTTGTCAGATATATGAAGCGCAACCTGGTATCAGCTATTGGAATAGAAAGCATGAAACTGGGCGCAGTAATTCGGGCGTTGGCCTTGACATTGAGACCGAAGCTCGGCCATCGGGAGGTGTAAGTTGGCCGTGATTTCTACGAAGCTGATCATTAATCGGGTTCTTGGCACATGGACTTCTCCATCGGTGACGGGATGAAAGACCCATCCTCCTGTGAATCGGGGAGTTATGTTGCTTCCTCTGACGTGTTCATAAAGACTATAAATGCCCAATCGCTCTTCTCACTTGAGGTCGATAGCTCCGCAGTTCATCCCAACCCAACAAAGCAGTTCAACATCCCAAACCTCTCGCACCTCTCAGAATGCAGCTCCCTTCATCTACTGTCGTTCTGGCTGTTTTCGGCCTTCTTGCCTCCCAGGCAGTTGCCCAGCAGGTTGTAAGTGAAAATTCAATGCTAAGGTCATACTTGACTGAAGGGGAAGCCGCTAACACCCGGCGTTCAATAGGAATGCGACTGTTCGTGACTGACTTGATATTTTCCTACCTGAGACCTTACTGACATTATATAGCTTGCATTGCGGCATGCCAAAGGAGGCCTGGCGTATGCTGGGGCGGAGACAACGTTGGATATTGCAGGAACCTATGCGGTCCCAACTGCCCTTGCACGTTCTAGACGTCGGAGGAATCGGTAGCATGGTGGATGATCATGTCATTTAAGCTTTACAAGATTCTACAAAAATCAACGATCTAGCATACAGCAACTCTTTGATAAAGGCAACATTGGGTCCATGTTCCTTGCATCTTCATACTGAGCGGTCGATACGGCCACGTTCCAGGGAGTCGAGAGTAGTACTTTTCGACGTACAGCAATTTCCCGTCGAAACAATGAGTGATATCCCATCAAAACTGTTTTCTGAACTTCAGTAACTGTATAGAAGAGTGCTATGATTACCTGAACGCGATATCCTCCGGTTCTCCTTAATCAGCATCCGTTTCAATACCCACGCCATAATCGCGGCTGCCACTGAGAAGGCAGCGCTAGATAGCATAGCTGTGGTATATCTAGGTGCATCCGATTCAGGCCAGAGATACTTCAACAAGTCAGATTTCTTGCCGGGGAAATATTCGAGTTTCAATAGAAGACCGTAACTTACTGGGGTGTATATTGACCCAATGGTGGCAATTGTGTTGACTAACGCGAGAGAAACGGCCTTTTTCTCCCTCGTTTGTCCACAGGTACTCGAGACCCAGCCGAGAATGATAGAATTACAAGCATAGACACCGCTGGCAAAGGTACACATGGCAAAGTACCTCGCACCGACATTCAGGGTGCTGCAGGCCAATACGAAGCCAAAGAGCGCGACGGCTTTGGCAATAGTAATGTGCCAGACTCTTTCGTTGAAGTGACCTGAAAATATGTCAAGGGTCAGTGGGAGGGACCTATGCAAGATCGATCAAAAGTCTTCACCTGAGCTGGCAGCCCATGCGATCGTTGCAATGCCGGATATGATGTAAGGGGGGCATGTTAAGGCGAGCGTGACGTTTCGGCCGAAACCCAGTGTTTCGACAATGGTTGGAAAGAAGTTCTTGTATCCCGATGCGCTGAGGTGTAAATGCTGCATCGCCACCAGAACCCAAAGATGTGGATCCCGAGAAGCTTCAGAGAGACCGGCCCAGATGCTGGTGTTCGCCTGGAGTTGAACCGTATCAACCGCAACTCGGGAGTGCGCAAGCCTCCTTTCCTCCTCACTGAGCCAGCGAGTGTCGAGCGGCTGGTCAGGCAACAGAAAGGCCGATGAAACCGAAATGAAGAAGCTGATGATACCCTGGAGTATGAACAGCCATCGCCATCCGCTAAGACCAGCCATTTGGTCCATTTGGAATACCCCGATGGCTATGAGACCAGCGAAAGCAGTGCCACAGATGTTAGCCGTGAAGAGTATGGATATTCGTGTCGCAATCTCCTTTCTGGTGTAGAAAATTCCAAGCAAATACAGGGCACCGGGGTAAAACGGCGCTTCGGTAATGCCAAGAAAGAATCGAGTTAGAAGTAGTCCTTTGAAGTCTTTTGTTACACCTGTCATGGCACTGACAATTGACCAAAGGGCCATAGTTGATGCCATAAACCAGGATGGCCTGATTCTTGTTATCAACATGTCTGTTGATCTTTGTCAGATTTTGCTGGAGACAAAAGGGTACATCAGAACGCACTACTCGGAATTTGTCCTAGTATATATCCAACAAAGAGTATGGAGACGCAGGTCTGGTACTCAGTCGAGGTCAGGTTGAGCTCGTTCTCGATGCCATCTAAGCGAGCTACGGTGATAGCGTTTCGATCAAGGTAACTGTCGCAAAGATAGTCAGGAAGTATTTATGCTTGAGCACATTGCCCCTTGGAATGCTTACTTGAACCAATACTGATAGAAAAGCATAGCAGTTAGCATTCGTCACAGGCTTGGTTGATTGGACTATGAGTACAGACCATAACCCAAAGGACTGGCAAGATAATCCAATCCAACTTCCGGACCAACTTGATCTCAGCCGGGCTCGCGCCCTCGCAAACTTCCATAGTCTCTGGTGTGTTTGTATAGGATTTCGGCACCACCCTCGTCTCCAGGTGTTGGCATACTGCAACTTCATCTGCTTTCGGTGCAGTTGAAGAGTTGTGCGCCTCAAGACCAGGGTGATCGGCAGTGACCATCTCGAATATTCCTCAATAAAAGAGAAAACGCACTGTAATGGAAAGTGGGAGATTTTGGAAGCTCATTGAAATCACTACCGAATTTGAGGAGTTGCCAAAGAATTCCTGCTTCCCCTTCTTATACAGGACGCGTCTCAAAGAGGTAGCTGCACCCCAGATTATCTCACGGATAGCCCAGGTTTCCCCGCATTATCCTGCACACACCCGCTCGGTAGTGCATACATGTATGATTATTTTCGTGGCAGACTTGAGTAGATCTATGGAACATCTGGCCGGAAACGTGTAAGCCAGTCAGTTCAATGTTAGGGTATTTGAGGTGATCTAAGGTCTACGATGGATGGACGGATCTCAGCGGACTGAGACGGGCGGAAGAAACGTGCGTTACCAACAAGGGACTGGAGAAGGTTGAACATTCTTCGCACAACTAAACCGACTTCAACGGACTGACGCGGCTTGAAACGGGCAGTCACGGATGCCAACAAGAGGCTGACACTAGAGGTTATGCCGAAACCTGGATCAGTTTCTCAATCAAAAATTCTCAAACACTCAAGAATCTTTTTGACTGCGTAAAGCATTTCTAAGTATTATCTGGGAGGTTCCATAGGAAGTTAAGTGAGTCAATGTCGAAACCCTGGTAAAGTTGATCTGTGTTATTACTGAAAGGCGCAATGCTTGAGTCGAATTGCAGAGCCCGCCAGATCCCGGTTTGATCCGAAGACATATCATCATTGACATTTTGATCAGCTGGAAGAATCGGCAGGGAGATATCGAATCCGCTTAGGTTGTTGTGATTATAACTGGGCGTATAAGACTGCACTGCGCTTCTTCCATGAGCCTCAGACGCAGAGAAGTGATTGAACTTCAGGAATTGGGTATGTTTCTCAATGAGATGGGCGTATCTGAGTGCGAAATCCATGTCGTCGGGCGGGTATCTTCCCAACGCTGTAACACATCGATCCAACGTTCGCAAGGCTGTGGAAACATCTGTTGCTGGTGATCCAAGACTAAGGGCCTTTAGCAAGAAAACAGATGCAGATATCACGCTGATTCTGATGCTTGCTGGCGCATATGCAAGATGTGACTGGAAGGACGTCTGAGTTGCAATGCGCAGCACTTCGCTGCTATCCGAAACAACTTCTTGCAGAAATCTAGCATCCTGGGTAGTCATATAACCAGCGAGACTGTCCTTTTCAACTCCATCAAGATTGGCTGTTGCAGCTCGTCGTACGACTGCCTGTATAGATATGGCACCTACACAAGCTCTGAGATGAAAATACTCGATAGATAGTGAGGTCCTTAGAAGCCCGGCTACAATTGCGCATCCGTGTTAGTCATGTGAAGTGATAGGACTACTACGAAACAAACCTTTGCATTTCGAATCAAGTGAGGCCTTCCAGTTGAAAAGAGAGCTTAGGAAGTGATCTAATAGATCTGGATAGCCATCGATTCGAAGTAAACCTTCCAAGTGGTCCACAGATTGGAAGAACATAGACGAAGCTACTTTTGAGAGACGGATAAACTCTAAGTAGACCTCAATGTATGAGGTCCATGAAGCCTGTGAAGAATCGCCCATGTCTTGCATCGAAGATCGCGATGATGCAATGGACACAGTCTCGGGAAAGACGGAACTATACCCCAGTCTCGTGGCGGTTTGTGTCATGTAGGCATAAAGAAGCCTCTGAGCTCGAAATTTGCGACAAACAGCAACACTAGATGCTGAGTAGTTTGCGCGCTGGTCGGTTGATAATATGCCAAGTTCATAAGCAAGATTCGTAGCAAGGCCAAGGAGCATCCAAGACATCCTGCTTGCCCTTTTCGCGGGCTCGAAGACATCTTTGCGCCACCGAAGTAGGGGCTCCTCATCGTTGGTTCGCTTCCGATTCTCTCGGTCGTAATTCAAGTCGATAAGCAAAGCATCCCAGCCTTCTGTATCTGGGGGAAAATGGATGGCTCGAGGATGCCAGTCCGAGATGAGCAGCAAACTCTCGATTGTGCCGATTATCCTCATCTTAGCGGAGGAAATCTTCTCTTGACCCAGGATAATGCGTTTGATCATAAGCTCGCAGAATTGCCAAAGTCGATTATGTATTAGGTGGCTCCTGGAAATGCCACCTGCTCCCGGCAACAGGAAAAATCGAGATGAGATCATCAGGATAGTGCAGCATAACATCGACTCTTCGTGAACGAGGCTTGAGTGGGCATCGTGGTTCCGAAATTGGTCAACCGTGACGGGAGATAGTGGTGAGAGATATTTGAAGAAGCTGGTCGATGTCAGTGAGAAATGGCTGGGACTGAAGTGTTGAACCTTACAGATCAATGTATGTGACAGCTTCTTGCGAGGTGAACCAACCCTGTCTGACGAACCTGCACTTGTCCCACATATCTAGAGTCTCGTCGACTGGTTCAGATAGAGCCTGAATGATGAAACCTACCCCAATTTGGCCGCCTGGCTGTTCTCTAGCAGGCACGGCAAAGGGGACGTCTTGCACGGGGTGTGTTGGCTGTGCTGAAGAGGGGCCCGAGGATGGAGATACTGTAGCATGATGAAGTAGATTTGCGGCGTCGGACAGCACATCGAGAGCGTCATTGGAACCCGTCACAAAACTAGAGACAACCCGTCCCGAAAGTGAACTATCATGAAGAGAACTTCGACGCCATCTCGTTCCAAGTTCTTGGGTGAGCACCCTAGAAGGAGGTGCCGCTGGTGACAAGTCTTCCTGTACCAGTGTATCAACATCTTGCGGCGACCTGGACTGGGTGGTGCTGGCAGGCTGTGGTCTAGTAGCATGCTCAGTCGCCCTGATCCTATTCCAATTCGGCGGATCCCTATGTTTTGAGGTTCTCGAACGACGATCGAATCGGCAATCGCGATGCTCACGTCTGCATTTGGCGCAAGGAGGTTCATCTCCCATGATGCATCTCACTTTCCGAGACCTACAGGTGTCGCAAGCAACATATGTGCGCTTGAATCGTGGTGATCCGACAGAGGGCGGTCCTGTGGCAGACTTATTCCCTGGTTCGTCGCTCATATTGAGTCAAGTCAAGCAACAACCACTGAGTTGGAACACAAGATTCGACTAGATACTGGACATGTCAGCCCCGGAAATCTCAATCATTCATGAAGCCTTGTTTGTCATTTCTCTTACCCCTATGAGCCTACTGGAATGAGAACGTGTGTTTCCTCTTGATGCTGAAGGTCTGAAGGGTTGACGAAGCGAGGAAAACCATTGCCGAAGAACCCCGCTACAATCCGCTACATAGCGCGAAAGCCCGTGACAGTCCGCGAGAGTCCGCGACTACCCGCTTCGGTCCGTGGTCGCTGTCTGCGCTGTCATCATCTCAACTTTGCTCCCCTCACCTTTCACAGGCATGGTCCCATCCTGCCTCAATTCGAGATGAATTCGAAAATCAATAAGCGTATCCGCTATTGACAAAACTTCACAACTCGCTTCGATGGAGTGTACCACGAGTAGGTGACTCCGAGGACCGGAGCTCACGGAGATGTTGCATAGATTCCGGTGAAGCCTGGAACTTCGTGTATATAAGTCAGGGAAATCGCTTGATGGAAAGGGTCGTGCAAGCTTCACAACGATATCAATATTGAGAACCTGTCAGCTACAAAAGACCCCCACATCAAGCGATTCCAAATAGTCGATCATGTCCAAGTCTATCGTCAACACCACTTCCTATCCTTTCCACTTTGACGCAAGCAATGGCCCAGCTATCGAGAGACGCGACAAAAAAGCGATAGTGGAATTGGAAAATTGTCGTGGAAGAATTCCCTCCCTCCAGGCAACCAAGATTCGAGCCATGATGCAAGAGGCGCACGAAGACCCTTCCAAGATCCTTGCTCATGTCTGCAGTTACGATGCCTTGAGTTCGCGACTTTGCGAGGAGGCTGGCTTCCCTCTGGTCTTCCTTGCCGGATATGCCATGGCTTCAGCGTTTGGTCTTCCTGACACTGGATACATCGCTTTCCAGGAAGTTGCTGCTAAGGTCCAAGAAGTTGTCAGGGCAGTCAGAGTTCCCGTCCTCGTTGATGGCGATACTGGATATGGCGGCCCGATGAACGTGAAAAGAACAGTTGAGGGGTAAGGTTGACCTTTGCTCAGACACAAAGCTGGTGATCGCGCTGACCCGTTGTGCGTAGCTTTGCGGCCGCGGGAGCTGCCGGCATCATGATAGAGGATCAGTCTTGGCCGAAGAGTATGACAAAGAAATGACCCGTTCTGAAGAAACAAACTAGATCTAACAATACTTCAGGATGCGGCCACACTGCTGGCAAGAGCGTTGTTCCTAGAAGTGAAGCTTATGCCCGATGGCAGGCCGCAGTTGATGCTAGAGACGAAGGAGTGGACATGTGGATCATGGCCCGGACCGACAGTCTCATCCATGGATACGACGAGGCTCTCACTAGAGCCCGCAAGGCGATTGAGATTGGGGTGGATGCCGTGTTTGTCGAAGCACTCCCCGATCGCGAGACCATGGAACGACTTAGGAAGGATCTCGATTTCCCCGTCTTTGCCAACATCATCGAGGGTGGTAAGACGGAGAACTTGTCAGCCCAAGACCTGGGCAAGCTTGGGTACTGCGGGGTTGCGTATCCGTGGACTTTGGTTGCCGCGAAATTAAAGAGTATCCGCGAGGCTTTAGAGGCACTGAAGGGGTCCTTCACTGTTGGAAAGCCCCCGACAATTTTGTCCTATGCCGAGGTTTGTGAGGGGGTCGGTTTTAACAAGTACTTCCAACTCGAGGAACGCTACGAGTACGAGGGACGCACGAACGGAGCGAATGGATATCAGTGGAAGGAGTGAAAGAAGCTGTCGACTTCCATGATCCACGGTCGGAAACTTGTGTACGAGAGTTAGCAAACTTCATCCAGTTCTGTCTTAACACCGTTTTCAGTTGGGAAAGTGACCTACGAGAGTGAGGTCTGTATAACTCGCGCTTCTCGGCAGATAGCCTTGTGTTGCATTGCCGCAACGTTGGCGATTACCATTCAGAATTGGTCTGCTATTGACACAAGTGATGTAAAGTAACCGCCTATTGTGGGAGACGGTGGAGATCGCAACGTCTTCCGCCGCTGCTCAGCCGGGCACATGATAGAGTAGTCGTAGATATAACACTGTCGATACCGGGCTGCCACCGTGGTGATTGACAAGAGACCCCAGACATAATAGTACTGGAGTCAACTCTATGTGTACTTCCAATCGATGTTTATCTGGTGTGTGTGTGAGTTGTGTTATTCACCACTCGATACTGGAAACGAAACAGGCCTTCATGGGTTTTATCCAAGAAGATACATATAAAACCTGGGCGAGAACTCAACAAGAATGGTCCGAGCAGTGTGACACAAGAGACAATTACTGACCAGTCTGCCTGAAGGCCCATCATTGTATTTGCTACCGCAATCGGCCGTGGAACACGGCCATCGCGGCTCAGCCGGTCCAAGCAATCAAGAGCGAAGCGTCGGGCATCTGGGGGCGTTATGGGAATCTCAGCAATGACTGACAATGGCCAGATCAAGCATCTTGCTGTAACAGAGAACCGGTCTTCGGTGGCTTCTAGGTATTCGCCGCAACTAGCGAGAACCTCGATCACCAGAGTTGACATTTTCCGCGTCGCGTGCTTCTGCATTGTAAGGTAGCCCGCGTTGGCTGATGTCGGTCCCTGCACAAGTATCAAAGATGTCTGCATCCAGATAAGGTCGTTGAGAAACATGCGAATGATTCTCAAGGAGTTCCAGTACCGCAATGCTCGAAGGGAAGGATAGCGAAAAGACACCCCCTTGTATGTCATCGGTGCCCTCTCATCTGGGCCCCTTGCCGTGAACCTCCATTCTGCCGAGACCTCTTGCCCAAGCTTCGCTGTGGCTGTGTCCAAGTCTAGAGCTTCAACAAGGACCTCATGTCTTTCTGAGTCCTGCAGATCCGCTATTCTTGACCGTAGAGTGGCGACCCGGTCAAGGACAGGGGTGACCTTGAGGAAAGGATCGTTGTGATCAAGATACGGCTGTGCATTATCGTAGAGTTCTATGAAACGGGTCGGGACAGGCGTTTTGCTATGTGCGCAGCTCGTGCGGATGTTGTTTGCAGAGTGAACAAAAAGCTTGCGGCCAAGGGCAGTCTCGAATTGCTGACTTCCACGTAGGCGCAATAACTCTACAGATCCAAGCGTGTGCTGGTTCCAGCTATCCATAGATTGCTGCCCGGAAAAGACGATGGCTTCGAATAATCCCAGGAGAAGCACGGCGGCCAGAGTACTATCCTCGACGGCAAGTCTCGATGAGCTCAGGGCTTGGTTCGTTTGACATAACGCGCTGGCGTATTGGACTCTAGCCTGCTTCATGAGTTTTGAGTCCGATATCTTTAGTGATAGGCTGGCAAAGCTGGCAGCCAGTATGGAGGCCGACATGGCATCGTTTCCTGTTAGCCCATTGGGGCAGAGCTTAGGTAGGTAATCAAATGGCGAGGTCGCTATGTAGTCAGTCATGAAATATGTGCGCGCTAAGTCCTCGATAGGCGACGAGAGTGACCGGTAGCGAACCACTTCACCGTCTGACGGTGGAGTTGAGGACGAGGAGCTTGACGGAGACCCGCGATGGACCAAAGTCCCAACGGCGTGCCCTGGTGTGGCCGCCACTATTGGAGTGCCGCTCGAGCTCGTATGTTGCTTCTGTGCATCTGCTCCCGCCACTGATTGCGTTTGCAGCTTCGTTTTGGCGGGCAGACGCCTCCTGGGTTTCCTATTCTGGACCTTAAAAGCAGCGTTGGCGGTCTCGTCTCTAAAGTAGAATTCCGAAGGATCCCTGTAGCCAGGGCAAACTATCTGTTTTCGGGAGCACTGGGTACATCCGGGCTGCAGGCGATCACACTGCAGAACAAGAACGGAAAGAGACAAATGTCAGCCTTGGCTCATGTCCGAAGAGTGTGGTTCATGTTGGTTCTTATTACACGCTCGACAACAGCAAAGAAGTGTGCGTGCTATGGTGTCGTACAGACCGCCAAAGAGACTTACGGGTCGAGGCTCGGGGCTGAAGATACGAGCGGACCAGTCGGAAGGGGGGTCTGGAAACAAGATGGAGTACGAACCCTGAGTCTTCCCTTGCGACAGGGGTAACACGCCTCTGACGGCCGGCCCAAGAAGACCATTGTTAGTTTCCGACTGGACTGGGGAAAACGAATCGTGTCGGATGGTGGTGCGTAGGGGCCGAGACACACTGCAGCAGCCCTCGAGACAGAGCGATATCTTGAGGCAAATGGAGATGTGATGTCGATTCTTTCCTGATTGTGGCTGTGTTTGGGGGCCATCATTAACGTTGAAAGACTGTCGGGAAACGACCGGAAAAGCGGCCTAAAGCCGTACATCTTGGCATTATCGAAACACGATCCCCATTTGGTATGGTCGCGCTTTATGAACAAGCACAACTCCACATTTTAAGGCTTGTTTTTGGATGGTGCAACGGATAATTCGACTGGAACGCGAAGTTGCGGGGTTAAAAGATGTTTAATAAAGAATCAAATTTACGCCAATCTCCTCTCTAAAGCACATGCCTCCGGACGCCATTCTAGCAGTCAACTACTGTTGACTGGGGACATTCTAAACAAACTTGACAGACAAACAAGGAAAACATGATAGCTACAGGTTCAAAACTCAGAAGCCCAAAGAAGTCAGCAAGCTTGCTTGCGATTCCATCGTTGGGTGCTGAAGCAATTGCTCGAGATCGAGGAAAACGTCCAGGCTCTCATATATGCCCTTCAAAGCCACAGCGACGAGGTTGTCATTCCACACGTCGAACATGGAGGTAGGTATTCCTTCTGACGATGTGTCTCGGGAATGTGCCTTTTGCAACAAGCTCCAGGCCTGATTGACTACCGCGCGGGCCTGTTCATCAGGACTTTGCGCGTCGGAAGTCACGACAGACTCAGCGACATCGCCAACTGATCCGCCAGGCAAGAGTGGCGCGTTGTTGGACTTGGTTTTCTGGCTTCGGGTGTCGGGAAGCGGTGCTTCCGAGTCCCAGTGGTGACCGAAATGCTCAATGGCGACACAAAGTGCCTGCAAAAGAGTCTCGGCGGTGTTGTGATTGATCGTGTTGAGGGTGTGAGTAAGCTCAATACTCAAAAGGCCCTCCGAAGGACGGGAAGTAGTAATGATCCAAATAGCAGCAGCATTCGAGGTGCCTCCCTTGGCGCTCAGCTCAAAAGGCAAGTCAGGTGTCGTTTCGTTGAGCTCAGCGGCCAGAGGGATGTTTTGGTGCTGCACGATGGACGCGCCCGCGAAAGAAGTTCGAGCTGGCCAAGACGTGGCTCCCGTGATGATGCGACGGAATCCAACGTGCTCATGCTCCATGCTCTTGGTATGTTGAGCGTGAACGGCTTGCAGGAAAGAGCGCGTGCTAGTGTCCTTCAAGATGTTTCTGACGCGGACAGGAGATAGATTAACGCAAGGTCCTACCACGGACTCGATGCCAGCGACCGGAGCGAATCGACCGGACACCAGGCAGCCAAAGACAACGTCGGAGAGACTTGAGTGTTGGGCAAGGACGATGGCCCAGGCGGCCTTGAGAACGCTGGCGAAGGTCACACTGGCTTGAGAAAGATTGGGCAATGTCACAAGCCGAGTAATGTGACCCTCAATTCCGTCGTTGGCGGTGATGGCAGCAGGAGTGATGACTGGAGTCATCTGCGAGTTCTCAAGGAGGTGTTGCCAGTATGACATGGAATGCCGAGAAGGAAGAGCCTGGATACTGGAAGAAAATTTGGCGAAGGAGACTTCAGGAGCAAGTTCACTCCGCTTCAAAGCCTGGGAAAGCGTTTGGAGAAGAAGCGGGAAGGACAGGCCGTCATAGTGCGTATGAGCAAGCCTCATGACAAGTTGAGTTTGCGAGGCGGACTCGACGATGAAGAACTTGGTAGGAATCTCATCGGAACCTAAGCGACGCGCCTCATCAGTCTCGATCAAGCGCGTGGTGAAAGAGACGACGTCATCCGAAGTGACGCGGAAGAACTCAAAAGCGGGCTGGAAAGAGGTCACGGACGCAGCAAGCTGCCAGAGTCGGCTGTTGGCAAGCTTGAGCTTGGTGCGAAGGATAGAGTGGTGCTGAACCAGTTGCGTGCAGGCATTGCGGATGCGTTCATGACTGAAGCGATCGAGGAAGCGGAGGACGAAGTAGTTGACAAAGCCGCGGTTCCGGAGCTGAGAGAACTCGAATGCCAGAGCTTGGAAGTCTGACGCCGGTGTGATATGGTACTCGGCTGGACTGCTTGGAGAAGCTTGTGCCACTGAAGACAATTCGGTACCAATGGCGATGTTTTCAGCAGCAGCAACTTGCAGGGCCTCTTCATCGATATGCTCAGCGTCGGGAGTGAGATCTTGACTGCCGCCAAGATCCGACCACTCTTCTGTCGAGGAAGACCCATCTGTGCGGTCTTCGTCCCCTTGGAGATGGCGACATAAACTGGCCAAGACCGGGTACTTGAAGACATCAGAGACACGGAGCGTCAGACCACCCTCGGCCAAAATTGGGACCAGGCGCATAGCTGTGATAGAATCGCCTCCAAGACGGAAGAAACTGTCCCGGATGCCAATCTTGCCGGTGTCAAGTCCAAGGACCTGTGCCCAGGCAGACACCATGCTCTTCTCCAGAGACGAGCGTGGAGCTTCTTTCACACCTTGAACACCACGGAGAAGCTCTAGTTGCTCGGCAGTGACGTCTGCAACAACAGCCTGTAGTCTGCGGCGATCGACCTTGCTCGACGAGGTGAGCGGGATTGAGTCGAGAGGGATATAGAGCGTGGGAACCATGTAAAGCGGCACTGCATGAGACATCTCCACTGTTGCCTTCGCCCAAGATTGAGCAAAGGCCTTGACTGCTCCGCTGTCGAGCGGAAGCATGGATCCGAGGGAGTTGCCCGATGCGTTGCTGCTCGAAGGTACGACAAAGGCGACCAAGGCCATGGAGTCGTTCTTCTGCTGAGGGAAGCTGACGATATCGGCAACGACGTGGCACTCAGGCAGAGCACGACGCATATGATGTTCAACTTCGCTGAGTTCAATGCGCTGACCCCTGAGCTTGGCTTGGTTGTCCTTTCGGCCGATGAACAAGATGCCACCGTCTGAGTCGTACCTGACAATGTCGCCGGTCTTATAGAAACGTCTGGACCTGCTGCTAGCACTGGGGAAACCTTGAGTCCAGGCAAGATCCTGTACGAAGGCGGCCCGGGTTTTCTCTTCTTGATGAAGGTATCCGCGAGCCAGACATGGTCCCTCGACGAGAAGCTCTCCAGGCGCACCAACAGGTGCCAGCTTGTTGGGATCTTCAGGGTCCACGATCCAGCAGATACAGCCAACACCTCTTCCGATGCGTCCAGGCTTGTGGTTGCTAGACTCCAAGACACACACAACGGTGCACTCGGTCGGGCCGTAACCGTTACTCACACGACGGCCCTCCCATCGCTGGATATCTGAGCTCGTCACAACCTCAGCACCCAGTGCAATAGCCTTGATGGCCGGGACCTCCTTAGGACGAAGGAGAGAAGCGACTCGAGGTGAAAGAGCAGCAAAGTTAACACCATACTTGCGGACTGCTGCGTTCAGGTCCTCGGTAGCTTCCTCCGGTGATGGGATGCAGACACAAGCCCCAGCGAGCAGTGTGCCAAGTACCTCAAGCACACAGGCGTCGAAAGTGTAAGAAGCAAATTGCAAGACTCGACTCTCGGAAGTAATTCCCATGGCGGAGCCGTGGGCCAAAGTGCTGGAGGCCGCAGCGGAATGAGACACCATCACTCCCTTTGGCACACCCGTGCTGCCAGACGTAAAGACAACATATGCCAGGGAGTCAGGTAGAGAGACACTGTGAGCAGGTGGCGGCGTAGTCTCCTTCTCCTCGATCGAGTACTCGAGCGACTCTGGGAAGACTGGAGTGACAGGGAGATTCGCCAATGAGGGCGATTTTGCCAGCTCAGGTGAAGTGAGAAGGACGCCGATCCTAGCTTCTTCGACAATGAATTTGAGACGGCTTTCAGGCTGAGCAGCATCCAAAGCAACGAACGCACCACCTGCCTTGAGGATACCAAGCATGATGACTGGAACCCATTTAGACTTCCCGTGGCTGAAGGCGACCACAGTCTCGGCGCCGACGCCGACTCCCATGCCGCGGAGGCGATGGGCCAAGCCATTAGAGAGCCTGGTTAAGTCGGCATATGTCAAGTCACCATCCCACGCACTGACAGCGGGCGCCGAAGAGGGATTGCGACTGATGATGGTGTACACAGCCTCTCGCACTCCTGCTGGAGGACCTTGGGCGTTCCATGCCTGGATCTGAGACAAGTCTGATTTGCCGGCCAAGTTCAATGCTGAGATGGGAAGATTGGGGTTCTGGTCGAGGAGCGAGGCGGCATGCCCGACCTGATGCAAGATGCGGCGCATCTCAGGGGGATCAATGATGCGACTGTCATAGGTGGCAGATAGTTCAAGCTCATTGCCCTCGACCGTCGCCTCAATACCTAGCGGGTAAGTCTGAGGAGAAGTAGTATCCTCGCTGCTGGAGGCATTGCTCAGTTGGTCACCAAAGAGACTCTCGCACGCAGCACTGTCGTCATCTTTCTCAGGCTGGACGACGAAAATGCTCTGGAACTGACAAGATCTCTTGGCTGATTCGCTGATCTTTGCAATGTTGACTAGACCCATCTGCTCGAAAGGCATCATCGTGGTGGCCTGGCGCTGGGCGTTCTGCAGCAGTTCCTGTGCGGTCATATTGGCGTCCCAAGACAGACGGACTGGCACAGTCGTGATAGTTGGGCCAACGATAGTCTCGACGCGAGGTACAGGAACGTTGCGGCCACTCAATGTCGTGCCAAAGACAACATCAGAGGAACCGGTGTATGTGCCGACAACGATGGCGTATGCTGCACGGAGGAGAGTCGATACGGTGACTCCATCACGTTGTCGGGACTTCCAAGACAGGTTTACCCTTTCGGACCTGTCGGCTCGGAACTCCAGAGAAGCTCCGTGTGGAACAGCAGGGAAAGGAGAAGCACCTGCTTCGTCAAAGTAAGACTTCCAGAATGACTGAGCGGCGGTTGCATCGACTCCCTGGATGTGCTTGATGAATGTGTTGAACGCAGGAGCCTCAGGGAGCATCACTTCCATGTACGCTGTAGCAACAGCCTCCTTTATGATGGGCATCGACCAACCATCGTACATGGCGTGATGGGCAGTCCAGATGAAGATGGCGTCGTCCGCTGGGTTGGCCGGCAACACAAGACCATACCTGCTGAGGGGTGTGCCTAAGCCCATGGTCTCTTTCTCGTCTTGGGCAAGATACTCCTCCAGAGAGGAAGCCGTGCGCCACCGCATTGCCTGTTTGGTGCTGATCACGGCCTGAAGAGTTCCGTAGGTGTCCAGATGTACGAGTTGGGTGCGAAGAATAGGGTGAATGTTCGCGACGTACTCCCAAGCCTTCTGGAATCGGCTCACGCGCACACTGCGGAGGCGGAAGGTCTCGCGAACGATGTAAGATCCCTCTTCCTTGACCGAGAGCGAGATCAGACCCTGTTGAAGTGGGGTGCAAGGATACAAGTCCTCGAGGGCTTCAGGAACTACACCGCACTGTCGGGCAGCCTCTTGATGCATCAGGGTGTCGTATGCTGGAATGAGAGAAAACGGCGGAACGACTTCAATTTCATCGCTCTCGTTGCTACTGCACCGACAAAGGTTGGCCAAGATGGGCGTCTGGAAGATGTCGGACACGGTGATGGAGATGCCGACTGATCGCGCAGCTGTGACAAGCTTCATCGCAGAGATGGAGTCTCCACCGAGACGGAAGAAACTGTCATTGATGCCGATGCTCTCGGGACCCAGCTGTAGGACGGTTGACCAGGCGGATTGCATGCGCTTTTCGACATCGTTGCGAGGTGCAACCTTGGGTCCGTCGCCTATTACTCCGCGTTGAAGGGCTCGCAAGGTATCGAGGTGCTTGTGGGGGATCTTGGCTGCGATGGCCTTGAGCCTTTGACGATCCGTCTTTCCAGAGACGGTGAGAGGCATCTTGGAAATGGGGATGAAGATTGAAGGGACCATGTAAGGTGGCACCGAGCGACCCAGCTCAGCAACAGCAGTAGAGGCAGCTTCACCAACCTGCTTGAGTGAACCAGCGCTTATACCAGCGTTACTCTCGATGTTTACGTCGACACCATCAAGGACGACAAAGGCAGCAAGTGCCTTGAGCATGCCGCTGCCAGCCTTTTGCTGCTGAAGATCAACGATATCTGAACGTACAGTCGCCGACGGGAGAGCACGGCGAATGTGGAAGTCGATCTCCCCAAGCTCAATCCTCTGACCGCGGAGCTTGACCTGGGTATCCTTGCGTCCGAGGTAAATGAATGAGCCGTTGCTTGTCTGCCGCACCAAGTCACCTGTCCTGTAGAAACGGCGCATTGCCGAAGGCTCGTCGCCGAGTGCCCAAACGGGATTGAAGATGAATGACTCTGACGTTCGCTGCGCATCATTCAGGTATCCGATGGCGAGACTGGGTCCTTCAATGAGAAGCTCACCAGCGCATCCGATCGGCACCAGCTTGTCGATGTTATCGGCATCAACAACCCACGCACGACAACCGACAGCGTGACCAATGCGACCACCGTCCCGAAGATCGGGATTGACGACGCAAACGACAGTACACTCTGTAGGCCCGTAACCATTCTGAATGCGACATTGGCTAGACCAGCGTGAGATATCATTATCAGTAACTTGCTCAGCGATGAAAATGATGGAGCGAAGTGAAGGTGTATCCTCTGGTGATAGCAGCGCCAGAACGGACGGCGTCAACATGACGGTGTTGATGGAATAGGAGTTGATAGCTGCCGCGAGATCATCCACACGCTGGGCATCTGAAGGCATACAGATACAGCCGCCGGTGGCAAGCGTTGTGAAGATCTCAAAGATGCAAGCATCGAACGTCAGGGATGAGAATTGCAGCGTACGACTGGAAGAGTCGACCCCAAAGCGCTCAGCATGAGCCATCATACTCGAAGAAGCCGCGCGATGACTGATCATGACACCCTTGGGTACACCAGTACTGCCAGAGGTGAAGATGACGTAGGCAAGATCTTCAGGTGATGAGATGACTCCTTTGACGAGGGCATCACTACCGGAAGCTCTGTGCCGCCTGACGAAGGGAGTGGTGGTGTCTGCCAAAGCAACAAGCTCCGAGGTGCATACGACGTTGGGTGTTTTCTTGGAGAGGCGTGTCAAGCGCTCCTCCAAGCCCTTGGACGTCAAGACGAGACGAGCTTTTGAAAGCTTCATAATCGTCGCGAGTCTATCATCCGGCTGGGCTGGGTCAAGAGCAACAAATGCCGCGCCAGCCTTGAGAATCGCGAGTGCTGAGACGATAGCCCACCGAGACTTCTCGAAGCACAACAAGACCATCTCACCCTGACCACTGCTGCCAACGCCAACGCTGCGAAGTCGACCAGCAACTTGCGAAGATGCTGACTCAAGTTCCGCGTACGTCATTTCGCCGTCCCAGGCGCTGATAGCAGGACGTGTCGCATTGTACACGGCGGCAGCGCCCACGAGGTCGTGCATGGTCTTGTGAATGGGATTGACCCGTCCTTCATTCCACTTCATGACCTGCTCATGATCGGCTGGGTTGATGAGATGAATGTCTCCGACGGGCTTGTCGAGGTTTTCCATCTCGACCAGCTGTGACAGAATGTGCTTGAACTGCTGCGCCATCCCAGAAACCAGAAAAGAATCCAGCAATTTCGGGTCGTAACTCATCCGAAGGGAGACGGTTCTCGATAATGCCTCCATCACACACTCAACTAGCAATGGCTGGGTGGTGAACTGGGCTGAAGTGTCCTCTGACGCGTCGTAGAGCTCCATGATGTTGGCTACGGCTTCATCTTCCTCGCTGTCATCCTGCTGAACAACGAAAAGAGTCCCAAATTGACAAGCAGCTTGAGCGTCCTCGTGTAGACGAGAGATGTGTTGCAGGCCCGTCTGCTCGAACGGAATCATAGCTGTGGCATCCAGCTGCACCGACTCGAGCAAAGAACGGATGGTGGTGCTCCCCTTGGAATCCCAACGGACACGAACAGGAACAGTGGCAATAGTCGGGCCACTCATCCGATCGATGCCGAAAACAGGTGCGTTGCGGCCATTGACTGTCATGCCAAAGACCACATCCGAATCGCCGGTGTAGCTTCGCGTGAGTAGAGCCCAAGCAGTGCGGAGAATGGTCGATGAAGTGATACCATCAATGGCGTTGACAGAGAAACCAATATTCTCGTCATGGGTTGCACTGGGCTGGGCAGTCTGGTTCGGGAGTAGTGAAGCAGGGAATGTGGTACTCGGGCCCTCGAGGTAGGATGACCAGAAGGTGTCTGATTCGGTCTTATTCAGCCCATTCAGGTGCTTGATGAAGGCATTGAACCCCGGAATTTCCGACTCTCCGCACGAGGTCTTGTTGTAGGCCTTGGAGAAGTCACTGAGGAGGAGTGGGAGTGACCAGCCATCGTAGATGCAGTGGTGCAGCGTCCAAACGAAAAAGAACCTATCGTAGTAGGGGATGATTGCGTATCGGCTGAGAGGTGTTCCAAACTCAACCTCCCGAGAGTCGTCGTGCGCGATGTAGTGGTCAAGGTCAATGCTGGTGTCCCATGACAGTGACCGAGTGGTGATGGCTTGATACATGTTGGAGCCCACACTGACAATCCGCGTCTGCAAGATCGGGTGCGCCTGAACAACCTGTTCCCAAGCCTGGTGGAAATCGGCCATGCGGATGTCAGTCGATAGCACCAGGACTTGACGCATGATGTACGAGCCATGCTGCTTTGCGGAAAGCGACATTAGTCCCTCTTGAAGAGGCGTGCAAGGATAGACATCCTCCACTTCCTCAGGTCGTACACCGCATTGCTTGGCTACCTCGACGACGATTGATTCCTTCTCACTTTGGTCAATGAGAGAAAATGCAGGAATATGCTCAACCTGAGACGGTTGATCACTTGCGGCAGCTTGAGAAGCGAGATCTCTCAAGATTGGAGTGCGGAAAACGTCGGCAACTGAGATATGAAGACCGAGTTGTCGTGCGGCAGGGACCATCTTCATGGCAGTAATCGAATCTCCGCCGATTCGGAAGAAATTATCGTCGAGACCGATGGTCTCAGTCTTGACCCCGAGAACTCCAGCCCACACAGCCTGCATATTGACTTCAGCTTGGGATTGTGGCTGCTCCTTGACATCCGAGGTTCCCTGCAGCAGAGCGAGGTCTTCGGGACTCAACCCTTGAGCGAGGGCACGAAGCTTTCGGCGATCTGCCTTGGCTGAGATTGTCAAGGGCATTCTGTTCATGGGAACGAACAGAGTTGGGACCATATAGGCCGGCAAAGACCGCGAGAGATCCGCGATGAGCTTGGGCCTGATGGAGGCTAGCTTCTCGACAATCGCAGCATCCAGGCATGTGGTGACTTCAGCAGACTGCTCCTCATCGTTGGGGAAAACAATGAATCCAACGAGGGTATCTGGAGCTTGACTATTAGCCTGCATCGTCGCGATCTCGGCAGACACATCGAATTCCGGGAGTGCCTGAGCTAGCTGATGCTCAATTTCGCCAAGCTCCACGCGCTGACCTCGAAGCTTGATCTGCGTATCTTTACGACCATGATAGAAAACAGCACCCTCCTCATTGGCGTGCACAAGATCACCAGTCTTGTAGAAGCGGCGCTTTCTTCCGGATCCGTCATTGGCCCAAGCCGGGTCGAAGATGAAGGACTTTGCGGTGCGCTCGGGGTCCCCGAGATATCCACGAGCAAGGCCCGGCCCCTCAATTAGAAGCTCACCGGGTGCACCAACAGGGACGAGCGTGTCGTGGTTGTCAGGATCAACGACCCAGAGGTTACAGCCGACACCTTTGCCGATAGGAGGCTCCTCGTTGCTCCGTCTGTTAAGAGGGATGAGGGTAGATGTAACGGATGCCTCGGTGCAACCATACGAGTTGAGGAGATTGGTGCTCTCGGGCCATCGGCTGACATCGCTTCCATGGGATCGATCACCTCCAAGAATGATGGTCTTGAGAGAAGGAACTTCTTCGGGAGTGAGGAGCGAAGCAACCTTGGGGTTGAGCTCGGCCCAGTTGGTCTTTGTCCGACGGATCTCACCGGCCAGGTCATTGATACGTGATGCTTCCGAAGGGATGTGAAGGGTAGCACCCGCAAAGAGCGTGCAGAAGATCTCTTCTGAGCTGGTATCGAAGCTGTAGGATGCGAATTGTAGGACTTGACCGTCGGATCGCAAGCCGCTATCACGGCCAAACTCGTACATGGCCGAGCAGAAGGCCCAATGCTCAGTCACACATCCTTTCGGAGTGCCCGTAGAGCCAGACGTGAAGATGACATACATGGCGTTGTCTGGGCTGCCATTCGGCAAGGGTCTTCTTGGAAGCGGCAGCTTCAGGATTGAAGCGTCACAGACGACGAGGGTATTTACACACCCGGATGGGAACAGTCCCTCGGTCGAAGGCGCTACGACAGCGACCTTGGCGCCGAGCTGCCGAACAATGACCTCTTTTCTGTCAAGAGGATGGGAAGGCTCAACGACAGCAAAAGCGCCACCGGCCTTCAAGACACTCAGCATCGCGACCACCGCCCACAGGGATTTTTCGAAGCAGATGGGAACCAAGACATCCGGCCCAACTCCGAGGGCATGGAGGTGACCCGCAAGGCGATCCGACGCATCGTCAAGCTGAGAGTATGTCATCACACCGTCCCAGGAGCTGAGGGCAGTGTGAGTTGAACGCAGCCTGGCTTGGTGGCGGAAGAGGTCGTGTGCCTGTCTCCGGACAACTGTCGGCGGTATCGCGTTCCACTCTTGGATCTGGTAAATATCTGCATCGGTGACTAGGTTCAGGGAGGAAATCTGGGACTGAGAGTTGCTGCTCAGATAAAAGACCGTCTGCTGGAAAAGGGTGACGATTCTCTCCAGTCGTTCCTCGTGCAGAACGCGGCTGTCGAAGGAGGCAATGACGCGTAGTTGATGCTGATCCATCTCACACTCGATGGAGAGAGGATGGTCATCGTATTCTGAAGACTTGTCGCGATTCTCGACGCCAAAGACTTCTCTCAGTTGAGCCTGGTCGACAGTGGCAGGAGGCTGTACCAAGAAAAGACTGGAGAATTGGCATGCTCCTCGAGCATCTGAGCTGATGCGCGAAATGTTTTGCAGGCCCGTTTGCTCAAAGTGCCGCATATCGGACTCTTGGCGCTGAACCGCCTCGAGAAGTTCCATGATTGTCATCTTAGGCTCCCAGCGAATACGAATCGGGACAGTCGCTATCGTAGGGCCAGTAATGACATCGAGGCCAGGAATGGGCACGGGAGTATTCCTGCCACTCAAAGTGTTTCCAAAGATGACGTCCCGAGAGCCAGAGTATTTGCCCGCAACTATAGCCCACGCAGTCTTCAAGAGTGTAGATGCGTTGAGACCATTCGTCGGTTTCCAAGTCCAAGGGAATACACGCACCACGGTCGAGTCGGGCTTAGGTGTGGAGATCGAAGATGGGACTGAAGGGAAAAAGGACAGGTCTGGCCCATCTAGATACGACTTCCAGAAACTCTGGGAAGCATTGACATCGATATCATTGACAAACTTGATGAAGTTGCCGAATGGAGGAGAAGGGGCGACGCTCTGGCCATTGTAAGCCCTCCAGAAAGCGTCCTGAATGATGGCTATCGACAATCCGTCGTAGATGCAATGATGAATGGTCCAGACGAAGACGGGAGTCCTCGGTGACACTGACTCAACGTCGATCAAGGCATATCGGCAGAGTGGCGTACCGAAAGTCATCGGTTGTTGCGCATCTCCAGTCAAGTATCCATTCAGATCGCTTTCAAAGCTCCAAGGCAAAGGACCTCTGACCACGGCCTGGAGCATCCCCCGGTCAGCGGCGTTGACAAGTCTGGTTCGGAGAATGGGGTGGGCTTGAGCGGTGATATTCCATGCTTCCTCGAACTGAAACATGTTGATGTGACTGGGCAAGTTGAAGACCTTCCTGCTGATGTACGCTTCTGAGGTGTCGTGCTTAGACGAAAGTGAGATCAGACCTTCCTGAAGAGGGGTGCAAGGGTAGAGGTCTTCGAGGTCCGCGGGAGAGGTGTTGCATTGCTGAGCAGCTTCCCGGCGTAGTTCAAGAGCAGCATCAAGTGGAATGAGCGAAAATGGTGCTACCTGATCCTCTACTACTCCAGTTGATGCTTCTGATGCAAACTTGGCTAGGTCGGAAAGCTTCGGGTACCTGAAGAATTCTGACAGGCCCAAAGGTAGACCGATAGCTCTAGCCGCGCTGGCCGCCTTCATTGCAGCGATGGAATCTGCACCAAGCTCGAAGAAGGACGTGTTCTTTCCAATCATGATGGGATCGACGTCAAGGGTCGAAGACCAGACTGATTGTAACTGCAGCTCAGCCTGAGTCTCCGGCGTCTCAATAGATCCCTGAGCACCACGAAGAATTGTAAGTTGGCCCGATGAAAGTCGTTGCGCTACCAGTCTAAGCACACGGCGATCGGTCTTCCCAGACACCGTAAGTGGAACCGAGGAGATGGGTATGAAAACGGCTGGAATCATGTAGGCGGGCAAGAAACGGGAGAGCTCAGCTGTGACTCGCGTCCTGACTTTAGCCGCGACAGCGAGTTGCTGTTCGCTGGGCTGTTCCGCATCAGATTCCGGAAACACAACAAACGCCACCAGAGTCGCCGACCCCCTGGATGATGCCAAGTCCTTGACGACTTCAACAACAGGTTCTTGGCCAGGAAGACTCTTGCCGAGGTGGTGCTCGACTTCACCCAGCTCGATGCGGTGGCCTCTCAGCTTCACCTGTGTGTCTTTTCGGCCGAGTAGAATCAGAGTTCCGTCGGCTTCATACTGTCCCAGATCTCCTGAGAGGTAGAACCGAGCTGTATTGCGGTTGGGAAATCTTCCACGCCACTTGGGCTCGTCGATGAATGCTCGTCTATCGACCGGTCGGTAGTAGCCTCTGGCAAGTGCAATGCTCTCGACGAGAACCTCGCCGGGCATACCGATGGGAAGGAGGATGTCGTGATTGTGAGGGTGGACAATCCAGATCTTGGCACCAACGGTATGGCCTACATTTCGGTTGTCACTCTCAGGTGTTAACGAAAGTGTGGAGGTCTCCCAGATACCCATCTCAGTGCCGCCATAGGTATTGATGAGATTCAACTTCGGGCTCAGCGAGACCACCTCCGACCTCCGTAGAGGCTCACCTCCAACGATGAGATATTTGAGAGAGGAAGCAACTGTCGGCTCGGCCTGCGCGGCGACAGTCGGCGTGAGGAAAGCATGCGTAACTTGAAGCTTCGCCATGCTTGCATTGATGTCATCAACAACTTCCTGGTTGTTGGGAATGCAGATGCAGCCTCCAGCGTAAAGAATTGTCAACGTCTCCGACATTGTGACGTCAAAGGCGGGAGAAGCGAACTGCAAGCATCGGGTATGTTGGTCTATGTGGAAGGGTTGCAGAACGTCTCTGATGCCGTTGCAAATGGCTTGATGCTCGTGAAGAACGCCCTTGGGAACGCCTGTACTTCCCGAGGTGAAGAATGCAGTGGCGAGCGCGGTGGCGGCCACTTGAGGGAGTGGCTCCGAGTCGATTGTGCTGGTCTCGGCCACTTGCGGAAGGTTCTCCATGATCACAACATCATTTCCAAGGTTTGGCAGGGCCTCGTCGACAAAGTTGGTGATAAGGCACTTGACGGAGACCTCACTGGCAATTGCAGCCACACGGTCTGCGGGAGCCCGAGGGTCCACGGGGACAAAGACGCAGCCAGCTTTGAGAATAGCTAGCATAGCAACCATGCTCCATCGCGATTTCAGCATCTTGGAGATGATAAAGCCGCCTTGGCCCCATCCCTTGGCGACAAGGTGGCGGGCCACTACCTCGGAGTAGTAATCTAACTCGGCATAGGTGAAGCTGCCGTCCCAGGCACAGATTGCCAGATCTCTGGGTCGATGAAAAGCGTGAGCGGTGACGATGGTGTGAATACACTCTTGACTGTCTGATTGAGTGTTGTTGTTCCATCTGGACAGCTGCGCTACCTCGTGGAAAGGCAACAAGTCAATCTGGTCAATTCCTAAATTCACCTTGACGTTGGGACTAAGTAGTTGATGGCAGATTATCCGGAAAGTGGCTGCCACAGCCTCCATCTTCTGCTCGTGTGCTGTACCAGAGACGCTTATGTGGCATTGATATGGTTCTTGGCCAGAGAGCACTAGTGTGTAAAAAAGCTGAAAGATGGTCAATGATGCAGTGTTCACCTGTATTCTCTCGAATTCACTCACCTCTTCGGCAGCAATTTGAGCGATTGAGGAAGGTAGCTCATCCTCTGTAATGAGGAACCGAGTAGGACAATCGCTGAGTTCGAGGGCGTCTTCCGCTACTGCAGCTTGGCTCACTTGGTGCAAGAGGGTGCCAACAGTAACGGAACTAGGCCCAGTGTGCAGATTGCGCATCGTGACATAGTAGCCATCTCCATGGCTGTCGCTCTGGTGCAGACTCGCCAGAGTCACATCGTCGGAGTCTGTGTGGACGTGGCCTGTGATCGCCCATGCGGTTTTGAGAAAGGAGTTGGGCTGTAAATTGAGCCTAGAAGAGGCTCCTCGGAGGGCTTGTGGTGAGACCACCAGCGTTTTCGAAGTAGACTTCATTTTGTATAGTTCAACTTGATGATACAGTCTACCAAAAGATCGTAGATTATTTGTATTAAGACAGATAGACAAGTAGAATCAAGAAACTGGCGGTCATCGAGGAACACTATTCTATGGATTGAGGCTCGCATTGACGTGGTCTCACGCAATAGTTATCCGAGTGATTCTTGCCCTCTCCACTCCCAGTACCGTCTGCTCATGTCATCTCACAAAGCTGACATTGCCAAAGCAAGGCTCAGTGGTGATGGAAATTGAAGAGTATGTCACCAGAGAGTCTTGGCCCCCGGTGAGTCTTGCTCATACCCAAAAAGGGCAGCATGAATGACCCTGCCCGAACCTTAAGACGGCAGACTGATCCTTTCGACGAGCAGTGCAGTCATCATTGCGCACAAACACGAGGGATTGGAAGGAATTGAGAGCAGTCGCATTCGGGGATCCAGTGACTCCAGTTCCTAGCCAAGCTAAGTAAGCCAGTATGGATCGTGAGTCGTGACCTTGTTTCAATTTCCGGCATGTCACTGTGAGTTCCACCTTGGCTCCTGGACTGTGCAATATGTGGTGTGTTGATCTATTACAGCGAGTAGCAGTGAGTAGGAGATATCACGTTCTTCGCCGAACAGCAGGGTCACATCGCCCGTCGGCCTGGTTTGACACGCATGCAAGGTTCCGTGTTCTTCGGCTTCGACGCGAGAGTGAGCCTATGCGGAGTAATCCCCGGTCATATTACCAATATCAGACGAACCTCAGCCGGAAAACTTCTTAGGATTCCGGCTACTTTGGAAGCGAGGTGGGGCCGTTAACGGACCCGGATTGTGGGGCCAAGCTGCAGGGTCAGCAATATCCCTGGCCGCGGCGTGGCTCAAACGCAAGACGAGCCCGACGGGGAATTTAGATTGCTGCAAGAAATCGTTTCCAGAAACCCAGTACCAATGTCATGAAGGCAATACCACCACGGGTAAGCCGGGTCATCACGCAAACTGCAGATGTTGCTGACCCAGACCAAACAATCGGAATGCCGAAGGTTCCTGAATCCTGCACGAGAAGCGTGAGAGGAGTTACATTGAATCTATATGCGGCCCGCGCGGCAGCAATGCAGGGCCGAAGTTGGGCTAAACAACTCCAACTTGACCTCGAGAAGTCGAGGGCAACCACGGAGATTTGAGCCATGCCGACGGTCTCGGGTATTCAGGGCAAATGTTGCCACAGATGGAACACTCGTATCCGCACGTGCAGTTTGGTCGGGATCCGGGTGGTGCTTCGAGAACACGGGAGCGAGCACGACATGTCATTTGTCAGGGTGCCATTTGGGCTTCCTTATGTATCCTTGGCTGGCTCTAAGTTTGACCCTGTCCCACTGCCATATCTGGAGTTCTATGACAAGACATCCATTGCCACGGAGCCGGTGCCAAATTTCCACGTCCACGTTGCATCTGTCTCAACGCATTGCCATCAACCTTCTTCAATTCAATCCTCTCAAGTTGCTGCCTAAACTAATATCACTCTTTCAGCAAAGCAAAACACTCATTCACAAAAGTTGACACAATGACGAGTTCCAAAGATACGGATTCTTTGGAGACACCAGAGCGAACATGTTTCGGGATACCTCTCTCTGCACTGGCAGTATGCATTGCCTTATCTCTCACTGTCGGACTAATTGGCATGGTAAGTACATGTATTTGGCCTTCCGAATCGAACCTAGAACATGGATGGAAACTGTCCTGTATGCTCCCCGGACCTTGCTTACAGATGTTGGCATTCATAGGACGGCACAATCGTCGGTGTAGCCACTCCTGAAATCACGACCGAACTCGGAAGCCTCGGTGATGTTGGATGGCTTGGTTCCGCGTAGTATGTGCCCAACGTCATCCTTATGTCCTCAACTCATTCCCGAAGACGAACTGACGAAGACGACTTAGCTTCTTGGCCGCAGCAGCATCTCAACTAGTCTTTGGCGCTCTCAATCGAGTGGTCCCGCACAAACATGTCTATATTGCAGGAATCTTCTTGTTTGAGCTCGGATGTTTACTCGCCGGGCTAGCGACAACTTCTACAATGTGTATCGTTGGTAGAGCATTTTCTGGCTTAGGCTGTTCTGGAGTCGTATCAACTTCATTAGTGTATGCCAATTTGCACTCCAATACTTATCTTAGAATTCTTTTTGCTGACTATTGTGTCCCGGTACCAGACTCGTAACAGAAATTCTACCTCCTGGCCGCCTCCCGCTCATGATCGGTGTCTTGGGCGCCATGGAGTTAGTTGGCCAGATCACAGGTCCCCTCATCGGTGGGGCCCTGACAGATAACGCGTCATGGAGATGGTGCTTCCTGATCAATGTACCCATGGGAACAGTGGCTGGTGCAGTCGTTTTCTTCCTGCTCAGAACGCACCGGAAGCCTTGGAAGACCATCTTCCAAGAGCTGAAGTTGATTGATGGTATCGGCATTCTCATCTTGACACCGGCAATCGCTCTCATTTTGTTCGTCGTCCAGTCTGGAGGCAACACGTTCGCATGGAACAGCGCAGAGTCCATCAGCATGTTGACAGTGGGGTTCGCTCTCCTTGTGGCGCTCCTATTCTGGGAGCATCGAAAAGGCGAGGCTGCTGTCATCCCTCTGGCACTATTCAAGAACCGCAGCATCTCTTTCGCTGCAGCTTTTGCTGTAACGGCTGGCATGGCCATGGCCTTGTTCGACTACTACGTAAGTGTAGTCCCAATGGATCAAGATGCGGTCTCCCTCACACATGATCTGAGCACATTTCTGACAAGTCACAGATTCCTCTCTGGAACCAAGTCATCAAAGGCTACTCAGCTGCACGATCTGGCATCTTGCTTTTACCACTCAACGCTTGTTCCGCTGTCGGCGTGATGGCGGGAGGCCTTCTTGCGAATACCATCGGTCGCGCCAACCCTGTGATGCTCCTCGGTGGTACTCTTACAGCAATCGTATCCGGTCTTTTCAGTACCATCACCATGACCAGCATTGACTCCCGTATCATGGGATTCTCAGCATTGGCGGGTTTTGCGGCTTTGGCGTCACAACAGCCCATCGTTGTGGCTCACAACGCTGTCGAGACCAAGCTATCGCCAACTGCTATCTCTATGATGCTCTTCAGTAGCATGGTGGGCAGTGCAATCAGTCTGGCTATCGCCCAGGCGGTATTTCTCAACAAGCTTCAAGGCAACCTTCGTCCAGTCGAGGGAGTCGACGTGGACAAAATTATCCGAAGCGGCGCGACTGAGCTCCGCCACATCGTCGATCCCTCATTATTGCCAAAGGTTCTCGAACTATACAATCTTTCAATTGTCCAAGTATTCTATATGGCATTAGCTGCTGGTATTGCCATGACAGTAGCGTCACTTTTGGTCAAGTGGACAAGAATTCTGGAAAAGAAGCCAAAAGACACAGAAAAGTGTGAACCTTCTCCAGTCAGATCAGCCGGTACTGGTGTGATTGAGCCTGAGGAGAGAGAAAACACCGAGACAACCACAGAAACGATTATTGAGAAGGATAAGGATTGAGGATTGACTCGTTTTGGGTGGCAACATGTATCATAGGTGGAGTGTCGGGCTTGGTCGTTTTTTCTATGGGTGGCTTGATCATTTGGTGTAAACTTGCGTTCAGAAGCTTTTTCTCCACTTGGCAGACTGGCTCAATATACGTTTTCTTCTATTTCGACCTTGTATCATGTTTCTCAATCGTGTGACGGAGACCTCTCGACGATTTCGTCTTCCAACACCAAATGTTGCATGTTGCCGGAATATTTCTGACGTGTTTGAGGACAGCACGGCTGTCAGGGAATGTGAGTAATATTCAGTTAACTTTCTATTTTCCACATCTCATCAAGCTCTTCGTAGAATTATCAGACGCGCTCCAAGTGAATAGTTTCCAAGATCGCTACCTCCTATTTCTGGTCGTGACTTTGTCGAATGCAATTTTATTTACAGGTCACAGCATATCATTGCCCAGTATCTCCATGCGCGAGAATGACTCTTTCCAAACTTTTCCAACACGAACGCTTAAGCTGTCGCCGCAGTTTGAGATGTGCTAGCAGTGGCGATCTTGGTCATGGTGTTTTGCTTCTTGAGCGGCAGGGTTGATAACTTGCGACGGTACATGTGCTTTGATTGATGTTAGTGCAAGAAAACAACGATTCAGAAGGGATGAACTCACTAACGACGCCGAAACGACCGCCATTGCCTGGGCATTCTCCTCGTTCTCGTCAATGAAGTAGCCCCATGTTGTCTTATCTCCTTCAAAACAGGTAGCGAGGACGCAGAACTTTCCCTCGAAGCGCTCAGACAGCTGCTGAGTGTGATGAATTTTGGCAACAGCGTTGACGTCCTTCATAAAGTGCAGGCCCCTGACAACGGCGGAGGCAATATCGGGCCCAGTTCCGTCGATGCGAACGGCGAAGCTGTCGGCAGGGTTAATCATTCCCACAACGGTCTGCAGTGTTCCATCGCTGGTGACGGAGATGCTGCCAATGTTGGAGGCGCTGTCGTGCTTCTCACTTGGCGTAAGTGCGTAACTGGCAATGAAAAGGTTAATGACCTCCTGGTGTGAGATCTCTCGTGCAAGAGCCTCGCACATCAGCTGAACTCGGCCTCCGAAGTTGATTTGAAGCTCGACGGGGATGTCAAGGCCCCAGCGTCTATTGAGGATCCAGGTCGCAGCAGCCTTGCCACTCTGGGAGTTTACCCGAATTATTGTGTCCAGAGGAATTCCCAAGTCCTCAGGATCCAGAGGGAGGTACGGGATGTCCCAAATCGGACGGATTCCCTTCTCGGTAGCCTCAACTCTCTGCGCAATACCCTTGCGAATGATGTTCTGATGACTGCCACTAAAGGCCTGAAGCGCAAACTCGCCCGTGTAGGGCATACGCTGAGAGATGATCAAGCCAGTGAGCTTTTCGTACTTTCTCTTGATGTCGTACAGCTTTGAAAAGTCGAGACCAGGGTGGATGCCGCGCGAGTACAAGTTCAGGGCCAGTGTGACGAGATCAACATTGCCAGCGCGTTCTCCGTTACCGAACAGACATCCCTCAACCATATCAGCCCCTGCAAGCATACCTAATTCAGCTGCAGCCACACCACATCCACGATCGTTGTGTGTGTGAATTGAAATGGAAATCTTTTCGGGGTCAGACAAAGCCGCTCGGAAGGTCTCGACTTGGTCCGCAAAAACGTTGGGAGTAGCAACTTCGGTACTAGTCGCCAACACCACAACCAAAGGGTCTTCGACAGTGGGCTCCCAGGCCTCCTTGACAGCCTCAGTGATCTGAACAGCGTAATCATGGTCCGCCTCGTTGTAGGACTCAAGGCCAAAGGCCATGGTCCAGTCGGTCACTGCCGCCGATTCCGGGTCATCTTTGGTGATGGATCGAAGATACCGGACAGATCTAACGGCCTGCTCGAGTGCCTTTTCTCGTGTGAAGCCTTGGTATTTGAGCTGCTTGTCACTGACGCAGATGTAGGTGCAAACAGATGCCCTCTTGGCGCCACGAAGAGCGGCGACGGTGCGAGCTAAAAAGTCCTCACGGGTGGGAGAAAGACCGCGCAAACGCACAGTGTCAGGAACAATGTTGGGCGTCTCAATCAGACGTCTGGTGAAATCGAACTCGACTTGGGATGCGGCGGGGAAGCAGACTTCAATCTCCGTATAACCAATTTCCACGAGCATCTGGAAGTATTCCCATTTTTGCTCAATGGTCTATGACGAATATCAGCTTCCTGTAGCGTTGAACTTCAGACATACGTGTAACACTGACCAAAGGGTTGATGAGAGATTGGTTTCCGTCACGCAAATCGGTTGAAAGCCAAACTGGAGGTTTCGTCAAAACCTGGTTGGGCCATTTCCGGTTTGGGTTGTGGATTTGTTGGAAACCCGTGTATTTGGTGTGTGGGTCGGGAAGCCTGTTACCACAGTGGTTGTAAGTCATCTATCACGGATAGTCAACAGGATGTGATGTGGTTGAGGAGCACGTACATCTTGGCTGATTGTAGTTTTGGGAGAATGGAAACGGGGACTATGGCGAGGTATGACAGGACAATTTGACTAATAGCGTTTGAAAATCTTAATCGGATTGATCAGTTGAGACACTCACACCCTGTAATTGGTCCCACTGGCGCTTGAAGGTATATGTATCAAACAAGCCAATCTGGTGAGAAACTCCATGTGTTCTAGACACGGGCTTGTGATCCGAGCTTCCGGGAAGGATTGCCAAAAGAAAAGAAAGTTTTTGACTATGCATCACTGACACTGCATAAGGTGGGCAGCCATCTGAGGCGGCAACGTGGCAGTGACATGGCGGGTTTGATGCTTAGTCTGTGTTTAATACAACAAGGGTCCAGTCTCGTTCAAGGGTTTAATCCAACAGGCCCTCCCCCAGACAAACATCGTTTCCAGCAGTTCAACGGACATGGTTGACACACCACCGGTCAGCAGTACCCTGGCCCGAATTAGGCCAAAAAGTTGGAACCCATTTATTGTCAGGTCTAGAATGCGAATCCCATGTTTGGTAACGTGGATTAACGCAAGACATATGCAAGTCAGAAATAATACTGACTAGGAAACGATTCTGTTGTAAGGGTTAGGGATGAAGGGAGGAATCATGCCTCACAAAGTTTCCATCCTTCTTTTTCTTCCTCTTCTTGTTTATTTCTTTTCCCCGCTTAATCGAACTCTTGCGGAGGTCGACGTTAAGCCTTCAGTAAAACCTAAATATCCTTGAAGATTGCTCTGAACAGTGGCTCTCTACATTGCCCAATGCCCGTAACCATCTTGAAGATATAGATGTCACGGATGAGATGGTCAAAGTTCAAACTGAGGAATACTTACTCTGCTAGGATTTGGATACCTTCTCTACTTAAGGTATGCTTATCTCTAAACAGGGATTGCCATGTTTACACAAAAGGGACTTGGCCAGAAAAGTCAATCAAATCACAGAACTTAAATCACATGAAGTTCAATAGGTAGTGAATCACAGCAAATAAGCTTTTGCATTCATTCCTATCCATCCACATAATCGCCTCCTATTTCTCACAAAGTTCCCAAAACCTTCTTCAGAGCCCCGATGATCACATCAACCTCCTCCACTGAGTACGAGAAGACACGTCAGCCGTCCGAATCATCCAAAGTGCTGTAAAGCGTAACTCACCGGTGTTGTAATGTACTAAGCTCACTCGTACAACGCCATCCTCGCCGAGACCGAGAATCTTCTCGGCCAACCGCTTTGAGAAGAAATGACCCCACCGAATCCCAACAATGGACTGGGCCTCAACTCTCTCCACGACGCTTTGAGACGATGTTCCCTTTACGGTAAAACTCACAGTGGGAACTCGAACTGAAGCTGCAGATGAAGCGTCGCCACGAATACAGACATCAGGGCGTGACGTCAGAAAGTCGAGAAGATGCTTTTGCAAGGCTTCTTCGTGCTGAGTAATTCCAGCCCAGGTCTGTTTCGGGTTCTCCCCGAAATATTCGACCAAGGGCATGATTGCTTGAGTGAGCTCGTAGCTAGCCGCGGCTAGTTCGAGCTTGTCCATCAAAGTTCCAGATGGATTGAAGTAGTGTCCGAGTGATTGGAGCTGCTCTTGTGCCTTAAAGGATCCATACAGCAATGAGATATGCGGACCGTACACCTTGGAGTTATACACGGTCAGTTTATGCAACGTAGTTGCTTTCTCGGGGAGCCACTTAATTACCTTGTACCAAGAGAAGGCATAGAAATCAGCCCCGATCTCCTTCACATCGATCGCCCGGTGCGGCGCATATGCAACACCATCGACACACAGAAGGGCCCCCGGGACTTTGTGGACGACATCTGCAAATGCCTTGATATCGTGAATGCTTCCCAAGATATTGCTAGCGTGCGTACAAGCTACAAACCGAGTCTTCGGTGTTAAGAGGCCCCCAAGGGTCACGGCATCGAGCTTTGGGTTTGACTTGTCAGAAGGTGCCCACCACTTCACTGTCGCACCGGCGAGAGTTGCATAATGGAGCCACGGGTCAATGTTGGACTCGTGGTCAACTTCGGAAAGAATGATTTCATCGCCAGCCTTCAACTTGAGAGCTGCTGCAAGGTTACGGAAAGCCTGGGTTGTTGAAGGTGCGATGACTATGAGGTGTAAGTACACGCAACATTGAATACTGAGTCTGCCGGTCTTCTCTTCTAGAGCTGGCGTGGGGTGATGGCTGATCCTCACCAATTTCACCGACATCAGCATTAACGTAGTTGGCGGCAACTTTGTACGCCTTGTCAAATGTCTGGGTCGAGACTCTAGATGTTCTGTAGCTCGCCCCTAGTTGCACGTTATTGTTCACGAGGTATTCCGAGATGCTGTCCTTCCATGTCAGCAAATGAGCAAGCTTTTGCGATGTCTATCAGGCTTCAACTCCTAGTAAAGGTTAATTCCCAGTTCTCACCTCTTTGCGACCGTTCCAAGAACTTGACTTCCTCCAGCATTGTCGCCAAAGATCTGGTCTTTTGCCAGAGCTGGGAACTGAGCCCGGGCGTTCT